TTTTTTTTGAAGAAGGGTCTAGGCCCGAAACGTCAGCCTTCCTGCTCCTCTGATGCTGCTCGGCCTGCTGTGTTCATCCAGCTCTACACCTTGTTATCCCATATTACACCAAATCCAGTTCACCTATCGACACTGTTTGCTAACCATTTGCACCCAGTTTCAAAGTTGTGATCCTTGTTTTTCATTTCTCTCCATGCTCTTACGCCTCCCTATATTTGTCATCTCCAGCCCTACGATCCTCAGAGACATCTGCACTCTTCAAATTATGGTCTCTTGTGCATCCATAATTTTAGTCATACCAGCATTTTGTAACTGCGCCTTTAGCTTCCAAGGCCTTAAGCTCTGGAATTGTCTCCCTAAATCTTTCCTCCTTCGAGACACACTCCTTAAAACTAACCCTGCATTATGAGGAAACACTGAGTATGCTATGTTTGTATCCTCTGAAGTTTAGAAAAGTCAGAGGTGATGCAGTTGAAACATATAAGATCCTGAAGGGACTTGATCTGGGTGGATGGGAGAAGGATGTTTTCTCTTGTGGGAGAATCTAGAACTAGGATCATAGTTTAAAAATAAGCCCTTGTCCATTTAAGACAGAGGTGAGGAAACATTTTTTATCTGAGGGTTATGAGTCTTTGAAATTTCCATCCTCAAAAAGGCAGGAGATGCAGAATATTTAAATATTTTTAAGGCAGAGGTAGATGGATCCTCGATTACAAAGGGGATGAATGATTATGGGGGATATGCAGGAATGTAGAATCGAGGTTGGAACCAGATCAGCCATGATCTTAGTAAATAACAGAGCAGGTTTGAAGGGCCGAGAGGCCTACTCTAGCCTTTTCTTCCCACGTGTGTATGTTCGTAACCTCTTCAATAAAACCTTTGGTCATCTGCCCTTGTATCTTTTTAGATGGTTGGGTGGAATCGGACTTTGTTTTAACAATCCTGTGAAGTGTCTGGTGGTATTTTATTATGTTATTAGCATATGTACAAGCTGCTGTTCCTGTCTGAAAAGAGAAGGGATGTGCCATTATTTAATCCTTATTGGTTGTTACCTTAAAGTATGACGTGGATATTTTTCACACACACAAGTGTTCGCTCCAGTACACGCTGTTAAAGTGTCAGCTATTCTCACGGTTCCGAAGATTAAAAAATGGGATTGCACAGGACAGTCTGTAGATCAAGGACTCCCAGAGGCGGGTGTGAGATGTTTTCAGGTGGTCAGACAAAAAATAACCAAAAGCACGTGTCCCCACACAATCCACCTATACCCCACCTCCATAAATTTTTAAACCCTACTTTAAGTGTCACAATCTTTGGTCTGCAATTGGCTGAAATCACATACAATAAACACAAGGCTCACAACTATAAAGATTTCATTGCGCCTCTCACCCAAGCCTTGGTTCGGTGCCTAGCAACAGGTTTCACCGAGATTAAGTTGAAAGGAAAATAAAGTTGCATAACTAATTTTTTTTAAAAAAGAAAAGAATTCTAGCGTCAGAAAGGTTATGTTGGATTTTTGTGAAACAGGTATCAGGTGGAGATGATTGCTAAGAAAGCAAAAGTTTGAGAATAAAAGGGAGTTTTGCATCTGTAAAGCACTCTTCATGATCACTAGAGCACTTTACGTTTTTAACTTAATCTCAGTGGTAACCTAGGAAACCCAGCAACCAATTTGTACACAGCAAGCTCCTATAAATAGTAAAGTGATCATGACCAGGTCGTTTGTGTTTGTGATGTTGTGAACCATACATACCTGTTATAACAGCATACACGTGTGTACAAGGACTACAAATCTGTTTTATAATTTGGTACATTTTTATTATAGTTTTAAAAAAAAGTCTGCTAATTGTTGAAAACTCAGTGGATGTCGTAAATCTTTAATGGACGTCAAACGTCATAGAAAACATTCATTAGGTCAGGCACTGATACCTGATCAAACTCAAGAAAGGAAACAGAAACCTATGAAGATGAACAAGATAAAGAAGGTGACCAAAAATGCAGACAAGGGATTGCAAGTGAGCATTCCCATAAAGGAAAACGCAGTGAATTAAATAGAAAAACTAATGCTAAAATACTATGGATGCATCGAATCTGGATTGAAAAATGCTAGAAACAGGAGCCGCCTGTTCTGTTGTGGGTTTCTGAAAAATTTGGAACTTATTTTTCAAATATAACAGGATGATCTCTGCCAACTCTCCCATCCTTCCCTACTCCACTGTGCTTGTTTGACCGTTGCGTTTCCCCAGCTTCTCATTTCTAGAGATTTTGGAGTAAGGGATGGAACAGGTCAGACCCTGTTACTGTTGCTGATGAAAGTGCACTTTCAGCAGGAGTCACCAGATAGTGATCGGAAACCATGGCCAATATTCCATCCCTAATTTGAGAATGCTGGAGGGCTGTTGTGGGAGTTGATGACCTAGTGGTGTTATCACTAAACACTAGACTATTAATGCAGAGACCCAGGTAATGTTCTGGGGATCCAGGTTTGAATCACACCATGGCAGATGGTAGAATTTGATTTCAACAAACAAAAAAATCTGGAATTAGGAACTCGGCAATAGCCATGAAACTATAGCTGGTTGTCAGGAAAAACCCATCTAGTTCACTAATGACCTTTAGGGAAGGACACTGCCATCCTTACTTGGTTTGGCCTACGTGTGACTCTAGACTCACAGCAATGTGGTTGACTGTCTACTGGGCAGTTAAGGATAGGTAATAAATGCTGGCCTGATTGGTGATAACCACATCCCATGAATAAATTTCAGTGTGAAAACATTTCACAGATCAGGGATCAAACTCTTCAGGAAGAATGGGAAGTGCATGGACACTTGTCAAGAAAGCAAATTCAGTCTTTGAAAAGGATCGTCGCATTTTTTCTTGATAAATTTGTATACCAGTATCAATGCGTAGCCCAGAAAAAAACAGCATGGAAAATTCAAGACAGTAGACTTTAAATTTCCTGCTTATTTATTATCAACTAAGGACTTGCTTTCCATGATTGTTAAAGAGTTTCTCCTGTGCACAGTTTCAAAACGCTGCCTCCATATTTAGATCTGTTTTTCCCACTGTATTGGGAACATGTCTTGTGCTGGGCTCATGAATTAATGTTACGATCCTTAAACAGTACACAAACCAGAATGTAATGGTAAGATATTGCTGAAACAACGCCATTTTCCTCTCTGGTGTTGTCCTTAGGAGGTGCTCATGAAGGATTACAACACTTGGGTCCCTATGGCAACATTCCCAACATCGTGGCCGAGCTGACTGGAGATAACATACCAAAGAATTTCAATCAAGACCAGGGATATCCGGATCCGCCAAATCCCTGCCCTTTGGGAAGAAAAGGTAACTTGTATTGCTCAGGATTTCACTTTTGATGCAGAGGTATAAATGAAACACCCTAATGAACATTTGTGACTATTATTCAACTTCTGTGATACTACTTTTTCAATATTTAAGTGCTACTCATTATTAAACTTTACTGTTGATGTTGGCAAGAATAATTTACTGCAGTTCAAGCAAGGCTGGATTTGTTCACAATTGAGCATAAGATAGGCTCATGGATGTTTATAACACAGAATGAGGCCATTCAGCCCATTGTGTTCACAATGATGTGACTACGATAATCAATTTTGCCGGCTCTTAGTCCATAGCCCTGGAGGCTATGGCAACGCAAGCGATATCTAAATACAGCTTAAATGTTTCTGACTGAATTATTCCTTCAGGCATTGAATTCCAGACTTCTACCACTGTGGGTGAAAATATTTCTCCTCAAACTTCCTCTTGGTCTTTTAAATCTTGGTATGCCCACTAACCACGCCCCCCTCCCCCAACCCTGGTTATTGACCCCTTTATTGATGGAAAAAGTGCCTCCTAGAGACCCTATCTATGCCCCTCATAATGTCAGGCACCACTCCTAGGACCCTCTCAACCTTCATTGCTCCAAGGAAAACAACTTTGGCCTACTCAATTTTTCCTGGTAGTTCAGCTCCTCCAGACCAGGCAATATCCAGATAGATGCACCCTTTCTAGTACAATCACATCCAAAAGAACTGTGGATGCTGTAAATCAGGAACAAAAACAGAAGTTGCTGGATAAGTTCAGCAGGTCTGGCAGCATCTGTTCTGAGGAAGGTCACCGAATCCGAAACATTAACTCTGACTTTTTTTCTTCACAGTTGCTGCCAGACCTGCTGAGCTTTTCCAGCAACTTCTGTTTTTGTGTCTATGAAGTTAACATGTTTGTTAAAATCAGGGAATGGTATTACTCTGAGCAATTTCTATTCAGTATTTTAAAAGAAACTGCATGCAATTCTGGTCTCCCTGCTATAGGAAGGATGTTGTGAAACTTGAAAGCGTTCAGAAAATATTTACAAGGACTTTGCCAGCGTTGGAGGGTTTGAGCTATAGGGACAGGCTGAATAGGCTGGGGTTATTTTCCCTGGAGCGTTGGAGGCTGAGGAGTGACCTTTATAAAATCATGAAGGCATGGATAGGGTAAATAGGCATGGTCTTTTCCCTGGGATGGGGGAATCCAGAACTAGAGGGCATAGGTTTAAGGTGAGTGGGGAAAGATATAAAAGGGACCTAAGGGGCAACTTTTTCACACAGAGGGTGGTGCGTGAATGGAATGAGCTGCCAGAGGAAGTGGTGGAGGCTGGTACAATTAAAACATTTAAAAGGCATTAGGATGGGTATATGAATAGGAAGGATTTAGAGGGATATGGGCCAAATGCTGGTAAATGGGACTAGATTTATATAGGATATCTGGTCAGCATGGACGAGTTGGACTGAAGGGTCCGTTTCCATGATGTATATCTCTATGACTCCAAACCAGCTATTGTTTTGTTGGTGAAGGTAAGCATGAGCTTAGTCTTACAGATCACAAAGGTCTCCAACCTGATCATTTCGCATGGGTGCTTACATCTTGGAAATGAACAGGGTTCAAACTGACACTGATATGAAGGTGATGAAAGACTCAGAAACATGCGTGATTGTTTTTAGCTGCTGATGGATGCCTGGAAGATACTCCTGACACAGCCAAATTCAGCAGTGACTATCAGGCCCACCAACGCCTCTTTGATCCACAGCACGATTACTCTGCAATGGGAAAATGGGTAAGTACTAGACTAGATTCAATTTCTACTTTATTTAAATCATAACCCAATGTCCATAATTGTAATGTGTACTCTGTATCTTATTTGGCAGCTTGTTTGGTTAAACCAACTTAATTCTGCTAGTATCACCATTTGATAAGCTGAATCCTGTACACCAAGTTCATCTGCTTTATTCATATTGTTCATTTTAACCACTTTAGAAATCTCATGAGCTGCACAAATCATATTGTTTCAATACCCCAGTCAGTGGCAGCAAGAATTAATACCACGTTAACTAATTCATAGTTTATAAAATTACAATTTATTGAAATCAAAAGATGTAGCAACACAATATTCTTATTGGTGGAGATGAATACAAATGTAGTTAGGTAAGAAACAGGAGAATCAAAAATTGAAGGGGATAGAGATTGAAATGCATTTTCCAGGAATATTTTCAGCGTAGTGTTATTGATGATTCAGTGAGAATGCATGACCGGTGACAAAGATATGAAAAAAAACTCACTTAATCTGTAAAGCCATTAATGCAATGTAATGCATTAAAGCACAAAGACTGTTAAATCGAGGATGTCTGAAAATCCAGTCTCTCTCAGCTTTACAAAAGCAATAAAAACAAAGCTTCATTGCCACTTTTGCTGTAGAGCAGGGCATCCAAAATCTTTGGAGTTGTGTGAACAACAGGTTAATAATCAGAAAATAGGATACCAAGATCAAGGAATGTTTTGTGTTGGAATATAGACAGTTCGCAAAAGCTTTCCACTAAGATATTTTATTTATGAAGAATGTTTGCAAACTTTAATAAAATCAGAAACCAAGGAAGCTAAGGGCAGTGTGGAGATGATCAAGATAGCAGTCCTTTCTATCTTGATTTGCCTATTACTTATTGCTACTGCTGCTCTTCACATGCCTGATCTCCACTTCCATTACTCCCTGTTCTTCCCATCTCTATCAATGCTCCATGTTGTAAGGGTTGAGGTGGAGGCTATTCGCACCTAGAATCTAACTAGTAGAAGATACTGAGTCTTCTGTTTATTAACAAAAATGAGTTATTGCATACTTGTATATTATGTGCACATTGCTTTCATACATATAGCTAGCATGTGGGCAGCACGGTGGTTCAGTGGTTAGCACTGCTACCTCAAAGCGCCTGGGACCTATGTTCAGTTCCACCCTCGGGTGACTGTCTGTGTGGAGTTTACATGGAGTTCTCCCCGTGTTTGCATGGGTTTCCTCCGGGTGCTCCGGTTTCCTCCCACAGTCCAAAGATGTCCAGGTTAGGTGGATTGGCCGTGCTAAATTACCCATAGTGTCCAGGGATGTGCAGGCTGGATGGATTAGGAAATGCAGGGTTACAAGGATAGGGGAGGTGAGACCAGATGGGATGTTCTTTGGAGGGTCAGTGTTGAGTTGATGGGCTGAATGGCCTGCTTTCCACACTGTAGGGCTTCTATGATTCTAGCTCCTTTGAAGACAATGGAGGGGTCTCTTTCCCATTTGATCTCTGATATCATTGATGTGTGTTACAGACTCTTCCAGACATTGTTTCAGACATTAATCCTTCTCATAGCCTTGTCAAACTGTATGCCACACTCCTTGCTATTCCTTGCTAATTCCCCAACAGCTTGCATTTATTTAGCATCTTTGACATGGTATATCCCATGGTGCTTCGTAGCTCATGTGCTTTCAAAATAATGACACCAAGCTATCCAACTGGGTGTTAGTACAGCTGACCAAAAAGCTTGGTTGAAGAAGTAGGTTTCAAGGAACATTTTTAAGGAGATAGAGGCGGGATGGCAGGTGTTTCCAAAGTTTAGGATCTAGACTTTGAAAGCATGGCCACTGATGTTGGAGCGACAAACTTCAGGGATGCATAAGAGGCAAGAACTAGAGCAGCGCAGAAACCTCGGCATAATATAAACATAATAAAGGCATAGGATAAGGACTTCAGCAGCAGCTGAGATGAAACAATAATGAGGCAGAAGATTTTACACAAGTGAAAGCAGCTTCTTTCTCTTGCCTTGGTACTCACTTTCCATATCTTTACTGGATTTTTTTTCTTGCAATACTTGTATATTTAAACTATTTTACTTCCACTGTTATCTTTTACACTTTGAACTATGCAGATCACCTGTTAAGAGCATGTTGTGTTATTAATGGATTGAAGACCCCAAAATTCAAGAAGCGAAATCTAAAAACAGTGTACATTCAATCAATGTATGAAAATAGGTGAATATAAAAAGTACAGTATTGGGGAATGGGCTGAGAACCTAAAATTTGTATATGAACGCATATGACTGCAAGCGTTAGGAGATGACATTGGATGCAAGTCCCAAGCCACTCGTACTCAAAAGGAGACCCTGGTCAATGTGGCATCAAATGGCACATGGTCCACTCTCAAACCTACCTGGTCAGTTGACAAAAGTGATTCTCTAGATTGTGCAAAACTTAGAATTGATTTTCTGAAGAAGGGTCTAGGCCCAAAATGTCAGCCTTCCTGCTCCTCTGATGCTGCTTGGCCTGCTGTGTTCATCCAGCTCTACACCTTGTTATCTTAGAATTGATTATGCAGGTTTGACAAAGTCATTTGCTTCCTACATAATTGGTATATTTGTGATCTGGTATCCTAAACAGCTTCCATTCAGTCATCCATTTTTTTCTTAAGCTATAAACTATTGCTCAATACCTCATCATTAATTATCATTTACCAACATTATTTGAAAATGTATCAGAGGTATCACTGATAAACTTGTTTATAATAATTGCTACAATGCTAAATGGGTGTTTTTGCAAGGATCAAAATTGGAAGATTCTGGGGTTTAGCTCATGTTTTGTCTGTTATATGCCATATGTTGAGTTAATCTTTTTAAAGTTGTTCCTAAATTCTTTTGTAGAACAAGAATGTCATGTACGGAAATGTGGAAGGTGGCAACCCAGGAAGGAGAAGAAGGGTAATGTCTATAGATTTTCTTCTCACTGGTTGGTTTCAATATATTTGTAACCCCCAGAGGTGATCTGAATATTATTTTGAACTCCATATTTCCATAAACTGGCTGTGAGCATTTTTAACACTTATCCCAAGATGGACTGCCCTGTAAGTTGTTAGTCACTTGCTCTTTCAAGGGTACGAGAACAAAGAGGGCAAAAATCAATATTAAATGATCATTTTGATTCCTTAGTTTAGTGAAGAAAGACTTTTTTTAAATATCAAGAGTACATTTTGACGAATATTTGCACAGAGTCAAAACTTCTTTTAAAGCATGAAGTGGTATATCAAATTTATTCGTTGTCCTGTCATTTTTTGATATTAACACAGATTTAGAATAGTAGCTGTCATATGGGGTTAGGCAGGCTTAATCAGTCACTATTAGATTTTTATGAAAGAACAACTGCAAAACGATGTAAATGAAAAGCAAAATGCTGGGAAAGAAAAATGCACAGGGATCTCTCAACATCTGTAAAGAGAAAAGGCCTGACTCTGATCCTTGAATTGGCAGTGAAGGATTGAGGACGATCAGGAGTAGGTCATTCACCTCCATGACCTTTTTCCACCTGAAGCATCACCACTTGCCTTTATTCAGATGTTAGGTATTTTCTGAACAACCACTTCAGAGACATTGTCACACACCTCTGGAGCAAGTGGGATTTGAACCAGGGAACCAGCCCAGCAGCAGGAACACTCCCACTGCATCACCGTAGTCCCCTTGTTTGGATGTTCATGGGCATGGGCTACAGCTGTAAGCCATTCGTCATGTAGCATAGGTTGTCAGTCTTGCCCAAAGAGACTTACTGTGACAGTAAAAGGGAGTTGTTGCTGGTTCCTTCAAACTTTCAATTACATCTATGATCTAAAGGAAAGAGAGTCAGGAAAGATTATAAGGAATGTTATTCCATAAATTTGCGACAAATCTTCTTGGCCTTGCACACAGTACCAGGCATGGCCCATTGAGGAGAAACCGGGTAGGGTGAAGCACACAAGGGATCTTGATTTTTCTGCATCCAAAGCCAATAAATCCTTGGCATAAGATCAGGAAAAATCTTCTTTTTCTCTTGCTAATTTCAATAGCAGAGATACCCCAGCTACCAAATAGTAAACAGGCTGCTTGGGGGTCAGTTGCCTATTAAGCTGCTTGTGGGGCTTCAAATTAGGTCCTGAAAATCAGAAAGCAACACCATGGAGATCAGGAAAATACTTGCTTGACTTCCTAATAAGGGTTCCTGTGTGTAACAGAATAAAAAAACTTACAGATCATTCTCCCAGGATTTAATATTGTCCAGGCTAAACCAGAGGTAAGGAGCACAGCATCACATTGTAACTGAATTTTATTGAATATTTTAGCTACTCCTCCAGTTGGCATATTTAAGCTACGAATTAGGTGCACCGCCTAGTGCAGATAACTGGTTTAAATGGTTTCCTTATTGAGATTATTTTATTTCAAGTGGTGCCAGGTAGAAACTCCCTAGAGAGAATGATATACTGTGGTATGGCATTTGTGAAGATCCAATTGTTTAGGCAATGACTTACAACTAGGTCTGTAGTTATTGCAAGCTCAACGTATAGGAATGGTTGACTTGCAGGACTGCCCATATCCATGGAATTATACCCTTAATGAGTCAACTTGAGAGGAGGAGGAGAAAAAATAGAGAGAGAGAGAGAGGATTTAAATGAAAATATTTTAAGAAGTAAAAGAAAAACAATTACACTTCTGGATGATTACACACTGGTGATTTATACATCTCAGTGCATCAATATGACTCCCTGTTTGACATTCTAATGATCCTGTGTTTAACTCCTGCGATTTCTATGTAGGCTTCTGAATAAATGTGAATGGTAGCACTAGAAAGTTTCAAAGCCACAACCTATTGCACATTAATTAGTCTTTCTCTATGTTTGTGTCTTCTTCACTTTAGGCTTTTCAGGTCTAGAACACAAGACATAAACTTTAAAAAGGGATATCAATTCATACAGGATGTGTAGAGGATGCTGACTGGTTGGGCAGTCATTGGCATGGAGATACAGGAAGAATAGTTAACTGCCAATCTTAGGTCTCAGGCCAGGCAGGTAGACTCTGATTGATCCACGTGTTGCTATGGGAATGCAGCTGGACTGGCAGTTTCCCCACCCATTTCATTTTCTCAACGACAGAGGTGCCACATAAAACAGGATCCTGTGCATTAATACATGTAGCATTCAGTACGTGCAAATGCATCACATTGCAAGCCTGAATGATAATCTTAAATTGGTTTCTGGTATAATTCTGAGCACAGTCTTGATTACTTGATGTTATCCAATAACGGAATCTACCTGCCTGCTCTGAGAACTAAGACTGACAATGAACTGTTCCCGTTGCATCTCTATGCCAATGATAATCCAACAGTCAGCACCTTCTGCTCATGTTGTAGAAATTGATACCCTTTACTTTGAGTCTGGTTTCTTGTGTTCTGATCCTAATGAATGCAAGACAAAAAGCTTTAATTTTTTTGTTTCTTTTTGCCAGTATTTAAGTTCTGTACTAATAAATTATTTTATGTTCTTCTTGTTATCCTCCTCTCTTCTAGATATCTGATGGTCTTTTCTCTCTCCTTCCAGTACATCTCTAAGTATTTGCACCTTAGTAATTGGTGTGAATTTACCCTTTTCTGTTCTGTTCAACATGTTTAAACAGGACCTGTGCATTCCTTCTCTTAAAGTTGTTTAGTACAGATTAGAGATGGGTAATAAAATGTTGGTGTTGCCTTTGACATCCACAAGCCAAGAATGAAGTTTTATAAAAATCGTAGAATTTCCTTTTTGATTGTGATGTTGGAACACCTTCTGGGAGCAAAGTTTTGAACATTGTACTTAACATATATTAAAAAGCAATATCTAATATTTACCCCAAATGTTCATCAGTCTATGAAGGAGTACTTTTGATTGGTCTGAAATCGCCAATGTGTGGGCCATGACTTAGAAATAAAGAAATAATTCCAAGCAGAAACTTTTCTTGATTGTCAAGCGTCACAGTTTAATTATTGCAAACATTTGTTCTCTAAATCTGCAGTCTCTAGCACAGTAAATATATCATGAACACACTGTACAAATTTAATAGAAAGTCCATTTGCCTTTGGCAGAATAGTGAATGACTCAGGGATGGGGATTTTTTTTTAAATGTAATAAAAACCCAGTATTATCATTCTGCATTTATTGATGCATTCCAACCCTCCACGGGACTGAATGAATGTCAGAATTTAATAAGTGGCTGCTTGTTTGCTTTCCACAGCAACTTTGCTTATTAAATGTAGACTGTGAACCCATTGATAATTTGGGAATTTTTTCCACAATTTGTGAACACCTAATAATGTTGGATTCTATGGTCCTACCTTTGGGATTTAAATATGCAAAAAATGTCAGGTTAGCCTCTTTGTAAGCAATATTAAAAAATGTCACCTCATCTTTCAATGACCCCAAAGTTTAGTATATAAAATGGCTGGATTTAGGAAGTTTAAATGCCATGCAGCTCAAATACTGCATTGCAAGCTAAATGACTATTTATACATTTCCTCCAGGAATTGTGATTCCTAATGCCAGGTGTTCAGTTATTGGAATAAACGCAAATATTTCAAAACACGGCTTTACCTTTGACAGAAATCCAAACATTTTCCTATGCTTGCTGAAAAGAAAGACTTATTTCTGAAGCCTTTTGTCTTGTACTCAAGAGGATAAATGCAAGAATGATAGATTTCAAACAATCGCAGCAATTTATACTGTTAGCGAAGAGGGTGCTAGCTCGTTGACATGTCAATCCTGAGATATGGCCATGGAGAAAGCAATGCCAAGCTGTAGGCTCCCTTACCTTCCGGATATTTCTGAAAAGGCACAAGGCTTTAACATGTTCCTTTTGTTTGCAGAGAAATGGTCCCTGTGTATGAATGAATGTCTGTTTTCGCAAACTTAAATTAGCCCCTTTACAAGTTCAACTGATTATCTTACATTTGGTTTCAGTGTAGCTGTAGTACAATCAGGATTTTTCAGCAAGTGCTGCTGAAACCTGGAATCACATCAAGGATTGACAATACAGTTCAATTTCTTGAAATTGTGAAGCATAAGTCAACAACTGAGTTGTCAAACAGGAATTATTAACTATTTCAGTTAAGCCTAAACTTTCAATGATCAAATTCAACTTTTAAACTAAGACAAAGTTGAAACTTAGTACAAACAAAACACATAATGATTTAATTTTGTGACAGCACTGACAGGGATAAGTTACAACTACTGACTATCCATCATCTATTGGGTCATTGATCACAGTTAACTAAGGGAGATGCTAAGCTATAGTCAGGCATTTCACAAGTGGGGAAAAAAAGTAATCACTCTGATCTGCTGATCCATTAATTAATTGTAACTTCATTGTGCCACATTAACTGTGAGTTAGTGTTAGCTACCTGCAGGTCAAGAATGATAGAGATGGGTGAAAATTTTCAGCAAAAAATATTAATAGAAAACATGACTGTATTGAAAACTGTTTTGTATTTAAGACTGCCATTAAAGATAAGTGCAGTTACTTGGTCAAGAAGGTGAAAACCGACATGACATGAGTGTAATGCAAATAAAATAACCTGTTTGGAAGACTAGGTTTAGTGCAATATTTTGGTCCTAATTATCAAAATGTGAATTTGCCTGAAGGTGATAAAGCAGAACCTGCATGCTTAGCACTGTGAAGAGATGCAGTCTTGGTAAAGCAATATGTTTGCACGTTTTGTATCTACTTTCAAAGAAGTTGTGAAAGGCCATTGTGGGCACACAACAGTACATTTGCAGTATGGCTCAGGAACAGGGCAAGAAATTGCACAGGATCTCAGATGCAGCTCTTGGTGGAAGAGGTGTCAGATTGAACGAATACTCTCTATTCACATTGGAGAACAAGGCTATTTCAAGCTCCTCTCCTACTCTCCTGTGCAGCTGCTCTGCCTGGCTTTGTGTGCTGCCGCTTTCTCTTTGTGTCTCCTGTAGAATGTAGTAGCCCAGCACTTAAGTTTGTCTATGAAGTCCTCAGCAAATTCTTGGGATAAACATTGCTTGAATGAAATCTTGACTAAAAGCTCCCACAAAATCTTCTGCTGTTTTTCAGAGATTTTCTACAGCACCAGCAGTAGGCATGAAATCATTAATAGAGCTTTAAGTAGACCTTGAAATAGACATCAACACCATGCTTATTTGAGTATTGCTGCCAAAAGATGCATTTTATCAAAGCTTTTTGACTAGCGATCCACAGGACAATGTACAAGAATGGTGGGAAAACTAACATTTATACTGTTCAGGATGTTGGTTTTCCCCTTTGAATTGGTATTCCTGAGAATTGTCCTGGTAAGTGCAAGATCAAAAGCTTCAACAAATGTGTCTGTTTTCAGCATTCATCAAATTCTGTACTACCAAACAAGTGCTTATTCCCAAGCAACTCATCATGGTTGGGAGAGGGTGTCCTTTGAAGTCCTAAGCACCAAAATACTATGCAGTCTCTTTAATGTGCCCTAGCAGACATGTTAAGTGGCAATCAGTGGGGCAACAAGCCTTCAGTCCATTGATCTTAACACGGGTTTCAACTTCCTTTTAACATAACATCTTGCAGCAATGGTGGGTTTAACTATTAATGGAGGATTTGCTGTCTGAGTATGCTATCAAAAACTGCCCCCCAAGCAAATGTAAAGTTTAAACAATATTATTTCAACCGACACTAAAACAAAGTTGCTGGAAAAGCTCAGCAGGTCTGGCAGCATCTGTGGAGGAGAAAACAGAGTTAACGTTTCGGGTCCGGTGACCCTTCCTCAGAACTGTGGTTCTTTCTCAGAACTCAGTTCTGAGGAAGGGTCACTGGACCCAAAACGTTAACTCTGTTTTCTCCTCCACAGATGCTGCTAGACCTGCTGAACTTTTCCAGCAACTTTGTTTTTGTTCTTGAATTACAGCATCTGCAGTTTTTTTGGTTTTTATTATTTCAACCGACGCCAGGTATTAAAACAAATCTTTTGTTTCCAGAGTGTGAATCCATATCTAAAAGGGAAGAGACTCAACAACGTTGTCGCCAAGAAATCAGCACCACATTTCTCTGAAGAGGACAGGCGTGCCAATGAGTAGATCAGTTACCAAATCTAAAACAATTCCACACCTAGTTGCGCAGGATGTGGATCAATCATCACATCAAAATTCATAAAGCTACGGTGGTCACTGTTGATAATTAGATAGAAAATAGAAATCAGGTTATGTGTCTATGGCGGTGGTGGCAGATTTGGTTTATGACAGTGCCTTGGTAGTTGCATTAAATGTTCATAAAGTGTTAGTAAAAGCACCACTGCAACAGTAATAAAAGTACTATTAATACATCTGGAAGTTTTCATTCATTGATTGTTAGTACACATGATTTTCTCTCAGACTTCCTACATTTTTCTTTACATCTAGAAATTCTACACACAACAAACAACTTTTCCCACTACCAAATCATCTGTGGTAATTTTCACATTCATTTCCACCATTAAATCAGTTATGTTTCCAATTGTTCCATTTATACCCAGAGCTTATTAAGGGCACTGCACCAACACCAAAGGTGACGGAAGAGGACTAAAACAAAATGGAGTTGGAAAGGGAGATAAAACACTCAACACCTTCCAGTGTCCACTTTTCTCTAAAAGCATCGACAGTATTGGTGGACACTGTGTTCTGTCTCTCCAATGATGCCCAGACATGAACAAATTTCTTCTAAAAATTTCATTGCCTCCAGGACATGTATTCTTACCTACTTTCAGTGTGCTGATTGGATACGCAAGAACTGGGAACAGGAGTAGCCCTCCAACACCTCACATTTGCTCCATCGTTGAGTAAGAACATGGCACCTACCTCAATTCCTCTGTACTTTAAGGAGAAAACTCCAGATCTGTGCATTGGAGGGTATGTTGGAGGTAGTGGTGTTCCCATTTATCTGCAGGTTTGTAAGGTGGTGTACAAGGAGTCTTGCTGAGTTGCTGCAGTGCAGATTGTAGATGGTACACACTCCTACCACTGTGCATTGAGGGTGTAGGGAATGAACCATTAACTACCATGATTCAAGCACACTACTTTGACCTGGATGCTGTCAAGCTTCACATGTTCTTGGAGATGCACTTATTCAGAGAAGTGAGGGCATCCATCACATTCATGACTTATATCTTGTAGATGGTGAACAGACTTTACTACAGGATTCCTAGCCCCTAACCCGCTTTCGTAGCCACAGTATTTATATGGCTAGTCAAGTTCAGTTTCAAAGGCAAATCCCAGAATATTGACAATGGGGAAATTCATCTATGGTAGTGTCATTAAATGTCAAGGAAAGACAGATTCTTTCTTGTTGGACATGGTCATTTTTGATACAAGTGGCAAGCGACATTTGTGCTACACTAATCAGCCCAAGTCTGGATGTTGTTCAGGTTTTGCTGTATTTTGACATGGACTGCTTCAGGACCTGAGGAGTTGCAAATGGCACTCAACATTACTGAAGGTGATTGTGCCAAGAACATTACCCCAAGGAACTCTTCAGTAATGACCTGGAACTAAGATGATTGATATTTCTTTGTAATAGGTATGACTCTAATCAGTGGAAAACTTTGCCCAATTCTTACTAACTCGACTTTTGCCAAGGCTGTTTCATGTGTTAAACGTAGTCTTGGTACCAAAGGCAGTCACTCTCCCCTCACTGCTAGAGTTTAACTCTTTTGTCCATGTTTGGACTAAGACTGTACTGAGGTCAGGAGCTGTGTGGCCCTGGCAGAACACAAAATAAACACTAGGAGCAGGTTATTACTGAGCAGGCGCCACTTGAAAGCACTGACCGTGACCCTGTCCATTACTTTGCTGATGATCAGAAGATGGATTGATGGAATGTTAGTTGTCTGGGTTAGTGTTGTGGCTGTACTGAGAAACAAGATTCATAACACTTGAATTAGGTGAAATAAGTCTCATCAAGGCTGCTCTGCCATTGAATAGAATCATGGTTGATCAGATTGTTCCACAAACCCCACCTACATGATAACCTTTCACCCCCTTTTCAAACACCTCTCTACCTTTGCCTTAAGTTATTCAGAGTGCCTTCCTCAAAAGCTGGTGGAAGCTAAAATCCAAAGTCTCACAACCCTCTGAGAAAATTCTGCTCTTTTGTCTTAAATAGGCAACCACTTATTTTTAAGCACTGACCTAGAGTTCTAGATAGCCCCACGAAAGGAAGCATCCTTTCTACACCTACTCTGCCAACTCCTCAGGATTTTGTTTCAATCAAGTCATCTCTTACTTTTCTGAACTCCAGTGGATAAACCTAGCTTGTCCGACCTGCTCTCAGAAGACCAACTGCCCATTCCACGTTTTAGTCTAGTAATTCTTTGAACTGCTTTTTACATGTCTACATCCTTCCTTTAATAAGACTGATACTTCACACAGTATAACAGATATGATTGCACCAGTGTCCTGTATAACTGAAGCATATGCCCTCTACTTCTATATACAGTTTCACTTGCATTAAATAAAATTCCATTAGTTTCCTAATTACTCACTGTAGCTGCATACCAACCTTTTGTGATTCATGCACCAGGATATTGAGATCCTACTGCTTGTTATTGTCCAGCAAACTCAAAGTAAGATATGATTTTATATCTTCCCTGCCAAAACAGAATTTTCACATTTTCCATCATTATACTCTTTCTGCCAAATCTTAATGCACTCACTTAACCAACCTATCTCTTTGTAGCTACTTTTCTTATTTTCTGATCCCTTCATCCAAGGAATTTGTCAAATGGTTCAAAAAGGTTTCCTAAATCAATATGTAGAAGGCCCTACTCAGGAGGGTGCAACACTGGACCACCTCTTAAGAAACACGGCCGGACAAGTGACTGAAGTGTCAGTCGGAGAGCACATTGGGTCCAGTGACCATAACTCCCTTTTAGTTTTAACATAGTTATGGAAAAAGATAGGACAGGTCCACAGGTTAAGGTGCTAAACTGGAGCAGGGCCAATTTTGGGGCCATAGGCAGGATCCAGAAGAGGTCGATTGGGTGAGTCTGTTTTAAGGAAAAGGATCGAGTGGCAAATGGGAGGCTTGTAAAAGTGTGATATCAAGAGTCCAGGGACAGTATGGTAGAGTGAAGGGAAAAGCTGGCAGGTTTAGGGATCCCTGGCTGACAAGGGATCTTAGAATCTGTAAAGTATGGAAACAGGCTATTTGGCCCAACAAGTCCACACTGCCCCTCCGAAGAGCATCCCACCCAGACCCATTCCCCTACCCCTATATTTCCCATGTCTAACCCACCTAACCTAAACATCCCTGGGCACTATGGGCAATTTAGCATAGCCAATCCACCTACTGTCCACATCTTTGGACTGTGGGAGGAAACTGGAGCACCCAGAGGAAACCGGAGCACCCAGAGGAAACCACAGGGAGAATGTGCAAACTCCACACAGACAGTCACCCAAGGCTGGAATTGAACCCAGGTCCCTGGCAATGTGAGGCAGCAGTGCTAACCACTGAGCCACCATGCTGCTCCCAAAAATAGTCAACATGTTGAGACTCTTGTCAGGAAGAAGAGGGCAACATACATTGGGTTTAAGCTATCAGGCTCAGGTGAATCCCTAGATGACTATAAAAAGTGTAGGAGCACACTCAAGAGGGAAATCAGAAGAGCAAAAAGAGGGTATGAGATGGATCTGGCAGATAAGGTTAAAGATAATCCCAAAAGGTTTTACAGCTATATTAAGAGTAAAAGGGTGGCTAGAGAGAGAATAGGTCCTCTCAAATATCAGCATGTTTGCAGCCTTAAAGTGCATTAAGGTAGATAAATCCCCTGGGCCTGATCAAGTTCATAGTCGGACGTTGTGGGATGCTAGCCAAGAAATTGCAGAGGCCCTTACAGAAATTTTTGCTTCATCTTTAGCCACTGGAGAAGTTCCAGAAGACTGGAAGGTGGCTAATGTTGTTCCATTGTTTAAGAAAGGTAGCAAAGACAAGCCAGGGAACCACAGGCCATTGAGCCTGACATCAGTGGTAGGTAAGTTATTGGAGAGAATATGGAGGGACAGGATCAACCAACTTTTGGACAGTCAGCATTGATTTGTGTGTGGGAAGTCATGACTGACAAATCTTCTGGAGTTTTTTTTGAAGAGATAACCAAGAGAATGGATGAGGGTAGGGTAGTGAATGTTGTCTGTATGGATTCTGACAAGGTTCCACACAGCAGGCTAGTCATAAAGTTAGGTTGCATGGGATTGAGGAAAGCTAGCTAATTGGATTCAAAACTGGCTCGATGGTAGGAAGCAGAGGATGATGGTGGAAGGAACAGAAACAAAGTTGCTGGAAAAGCTCAGCAGGTCTGGCAGCATCTGTGAAGAAAAAAAATCAGAGTGAACGTTTTGGGTCCGGTAAACCTTCGTCAGAACTGATAATGGCTAGGAAAATGTCAGTTTATATGATGGTTGAAGGTTGTTTCTCAGACTGGAGGCCTGTGACTAGTGGTGTGCCACAGGGGTTGGTACTGGGACCTTTGTTATTTACATAAATGATCTGGATGTGAATGAACAAGGCATGATTACTAAGTTTGCGGATGGTACAAAATTAGAAGGTATTGTTGATAGTGAAGAAGGTTATCAAAAATTAAAACGGGTTCTTGATCAGGTGGAGAAGTGGGCTGAGGATTGGCAAATGCAATTCAATACAGATAGTGTAAAGTGTTGCATTTTGGAAAGTCAACAGTACATACAGTAAATGGTAAGGTCCTGAGGAGTGTTGTGAAACAGAGGGACCTAGCAGTACAAGTACATAGTTTGTTGAAAGTGGTGTCACAGATGGACAGGGTGGTGAAGAAGGCATTTAGCATGCTGCCCTTCATTGGTTGAGGCATTCAGTATGAGTTGGGATGTTATCTTATAGTTGTATAGGTCATTGGTGAAGCTGCACTTGGAGTAGTGTCACCCTGTTATAGGGAAGACATAGTTCAACCAGAAAATATGCAAAGAAGATTTACAAGGATGTTGCTATGACTAGTAGGCCTGAGTCATAGGGAGAGGTTGACCAGGATAGGACTTTATTCCTTGGAACAAGAGAATGAGGAGTGACCTTATTCAGGTGTATAAAATCATAAGGGGCATAGATCGGATGAATGCATATGAATCAGAGATAGTAGGAACTGCAGATGCTGGAGAATCCGAGACAACAAGGTGCAGGGCTGGATGAACACAGCAGGCCAAGCAGCATCATAGGAGCAGAGAGGCTGACGTTTCGGGCCTAGACCCTTCATCAGAAAAGGGGGAGGGGAAGGGGGTTCTGAAATAAATAGGGAGAGAGTGGGAGGCGGATAGAAGATGGATAGAGGAGAGGAAACAAACAGGTCGAAGAGGCGGGGATGGAGCCAGTAAAGGTGAGTGTAGGTGGGGAGTTAGGGAGGGGATAGGTCAGTCCAGGGAGGACGGACAGGTCAAGGGGGCGGGATGAGGTTGGTCGGTAGGAGATGGAGGTGCGGCTTGAGGTGGGAGGAAGAACAGATTAGGGAGGCAGGGACGAGCTGGACTGGTTTTGGGATGCGGTAGGGGGAGGGGAGATTTTGAAACTTGTGAAATCCACATTGATACCATTGGGCTGCAGGGTTCCCAAGCGGAATATGAGTTGCTGTTCCTGCAACCTTCGGGTGGCATCGTTGTGGCACTGCAGGAGGCCCAGGATGGACATGTCGTCTGAGGAATGGGAGGGGGAGTTGAAATGGTTCGCGACTGGAAGGTGCAGTTGTTTATTGCGAACCGAGCGTAGGTGTTCTGCAAAGCGGTCCCCGAGCCTCCGCTTGGTTTCCCCGATGTAGAGGAAGCCACAACGGGTACAGCGGATGCAGTATACCACATTGGCAGATGTGCAGGTGAACATCTGCTTGATGTGGAAAGTCTTCTTGGGGCCTGGGATGGGGGTGAGGGAGGAGGTATGGGGGCAGGTGTAGCACTTCCTGCGGTTGCAGGGAAAAGTGCCGGGTGTGGTGGAGCTGGAGGGGAGTGTGGAGCGGACAAGGGAGTCACAGAGAGAGTGGTCCCTCCGGAAAGCAGATAAAGGTGGGGAGGGAAAGATGTCTTTGGTGGTGGGGTCGGATTGCAGATGGCGGAAGTGTCGGAGGATGATGCGTTGGATCCGGAGGTTGGTGGGGTGGTACGTGAGGACGAGGGGGATTCTTTTTTGGTTCTTATTGCGTGGACGGGGTGTGAGGGATGAGGTGCGGGAGATGTGGGAGACACGGTTGAGGGCGTTCTCGACCACCGAGGGGGGGGAAGTTAAGTCTTTTTCCCCCAGGGATGTGGAATTGAAAGCCAGAGGGCATAGGTTTAAGGTGAGAGGTGATAGATTTAAGGAAGACTTGAGGGGCAACTTCTTCACGCAGATAGTGGTTCGTATATGGAATGCGTTGCTGGAGAAAGTGATTGAGGCAGGTACAAGAGCAACGTTTAAAAAAACATTTGAATAGGTACATGGATGAGAAGGGTTTAGAGGGATATGGACCAAATGCAGGCAATTAGAACTAGTTGAGTGGGCACCATGGTCATGTATGACTAAGTCAATTATATAGTGGAACAAATTAACTAGGGATGTAGCTTTGGGGTTGAGGTTACAAGGAAGAATCAACAGTGAGAGATGATCCTTGGGACCTAATTTTAATTTAATCACAGTTAAATTCAGACCCTTGATGTCAATTGTGAGTTGAAGGGTTGGGCCACTGGGGAAGAGTTTAATAACAATATGAGCATTGTTGTGATCACTTAAAGAAAGACAAAGATTGAGAGGTGGATTACCCACCAAATGATAACCTTATCTTGCATCTAGTCCAAGAGTATTTGATACATTAATACTCATGAATATGCAGCAGAATCAGTTAAAGTCTTGTGCAGGAACTTTACCAAATGTCACGCAGGAAAGAAGCAACAGATACCAGAATAAAACTGAGTCAGAAGGCAATCAAAATCATAAACTAACTGTATATAATTCCTTTACCGTCACACAAAACATAACAGTTTTAAGCTTAAATCAAAAACATTTTGTTTTAATTTGTCCCTCTATTTGGTCAGTGTTTTGAAACATTGATGCAAGAAATACACTACACAGTTTTTTTTTAAAAAGCAAGTTCATCATCTTCCAGGAAAAGTATTCATTATTATAGCAGGAAAAAGCAGTTTATTAGAAATATTAAAACAGCCACAAAACAGTATGCAAAAATATAAAGAAAACAAAAAGTAACTTTGCTGTACAGTTTTACATATACAGGAGATGGCATGCACAGTTCAATATAGCCATTTGAGAGATGCCAGTCAGTGCTTCAGAATTATATTTGAAGTCTGTTTCTCTTCTCTTTAGTTTTATCTTTATCTGCTCGGCCTGGAAGGTGATTAAGTGTGACTGAACTATTCTGACTCTGAGCAAATCTTGTAACTGTTGACACGCCATCCACAAATTTGGTTTTGAACAAGACATTAGCATTGGTGAACATGCCATCCTTTAGTGATACGACGATAAACTGTAGGAGTTTAATTTTTAAAAAAAAAGTTACTTTGTCAGCAATATAGTGTTTTTGAAAAAAATAGATTCCCACCTTCTATTTCTCCCATATAGATGCAGCAGTGAGAAAGTAGTATTGTAGTAACCAGTAATAGAATGAGAATGGAGTTTGTACAGTCTCAGTAATAATTGAACTTTCCCATTCATTGACAAGCCTCCATGTGTCAAAGTCAGAAGTAGACAATCCAGTGTTAGAGGTAGAGTTGTTTGGAAAGATTAAAAGAAAAGGGCTTTCTGAAGCCACTGAGAAATCATCTTGCCAAAAACGAAATGTACACGTTCTCATCAGCAAAAGATGAATTTAGAGTTGGTGCCAATGGTCTCTACATCCACAAGAGTAGTAGATGCTAGAAAAAAAGGACATTTCAAGAGCTAACCTGAATGCTGCAATGGAGAGACTTCAGGATCTTTTATATGACCAATGTAAAATAGGCAGAATGTCCTTTATTATTCATAATTATCTCATGGCCAGCCTTCAATTCTTGCCACAGCTTATGCTCAACCCGTTTGACTTTCCATTTTATTCCTTACGTCAACATTTTCCCCAATCTCTCCCCTCCTTTCAAAGGCTCATTAGTGACCAAGACTTCAACACCACTGTTACCAATTTTCAAACATCCCTAGAATTTGCGGACTTACAAATGAGGACAGTCATTTGGCACATATTAGATTAACTATATAGGAAGATTTGAAGATATCCCTTGAATAGCTTACAACGGTGTCTCTCAAGATTCCAGGGCTTCTGTCTTTTCCTTTCTACCAGGAAATTCATTCCATAAGCTATTTCAAAAGAAGAATTTTCTGATCAATCCTAATCTTACTTTGAGAATAGTATTAATCCAGGTCTATTTGTTTTGCACTATTCAGCAATGGAAATGTTCCTGTTCTATGAAGCTTCCTCTAGGCATCTCTTTCCAAGCTAAAGAAATCTTGAATTTATGTGGCACATTTAAATGTAGCAAAATGTCCCAAGCTGCTTCACAGAACAACAATCGTATAAAAATGGACACTGGGCGAAGCAGCCCAAGGTGTTCCCAGCTTTCAATTTGCTGCAGAGCTCTGACATTCCCTCTACACCTCTACCATTACTCAAATGCCTTCCTTGCATCTTAACGAGCAGAAACAGGTCTTCTACCCAGGTTTCAGTGCAAGATGCCTAGGTCTCTTTCATCTTCATTATTAGTTACTTTAACTCATTCAGTTGCTTCTTTTCTAAAGCAATGTTTATTGCAATATTTCATCTGCTAATTCAACGAGGCAGGCACTGTCAATTTGTGAACCATGGATGAGTGTTGACAGGGTATTCAGATGCTGAGACATCACCTTAAGTCTGATTCTTCCCCAAAGGACACTCAATGTGCACTGACACCAGAGTTTGCCAAACGATCAGCAGCAACAACCTTGGACAAATTGGAATGCTCCAATTGGAACATAACAATGAGAACCGAACCTGTGACTTTTTCCTCAGCTACTGAAAGTAAAATTCAGCTGTTCCTCAGTTGGTCAACTGTTAAGACAATGAGTAACAGATACATACAGAAAGGTTCCATATCTTATCCAGAGCTCATGTTCTTGTTGTTCTTAGCACACATATTAATAGGACTACTAAAATTAGCCTCTGCTCTGGATCGGGAAGGGGTAAACTGTTGTTAGTCAGTGTCCAACAATGTCTGTTTGAAACATTAGTGCAGCAGACTAATATTGCTGAGCTCCTACTACTAAACAGCTGACTAAATGCTCAAAATAACACTTGAACAGAATGCGGATACAGTGGGGGCTCAGGCCTATATGGAGCTAAGCCCCATTGAGAAATAAATGTTTCAGGAATGGGAAGGTAAGAAAAGATAAAAGCAGCATAGGAATGAGACAGGAAAGGCAAAAGGGAGCAGAAATTGTAGAGTTTGAATAATAGAGTGCTGAAAACTATATTAATTCAGTTAGCTGCTCTTTTTAAAAAATATTAATTACATACCTGAGAGTGCTGGAAATGTGTTCGCAACATTTGCCCAATGTTCTGAGTATGAGAAAGATCCAGCGCTGCATCAACTTCATCCAGAATGTAAATTGGAGCAGGTTTAAACAGCAACATAGCCAGGATCAGAGACAGAGCCACCAATGACCTATGGAATATATAAAAAAAAACAGAACCAGTCACATTCTGTTACTGTAACAGAATTTGCATGAAAAAAACCTGGACTCTATAAATTTGAACAAATCAAGTGTTAACTCAGTATATGTTGCACTGTCAAAGCTCAGTCATTGTTGTTTCTCACATGCAGAGCTATGGTTCAAAATTGTCTCCCTGACCTACTTAAGAGTGCTACATTGCTCAAATTTGATTGATATGGAAGCACATGCTTGACATCACCATATCAGAGTAAAATTACAAGCTAAATGCTTGCAACTAAAACCCTATCATGTTTTTATGTTAAATAATCATGATGTGGCCTGTCACTACAATGGGCATCTAACTTTTTTCACGTATCAGTCTGAATAAGATTATGCTCTTGTTCTCTTCAAAAATTGAAGAAATATAGGTGGTAGTTGCAGAGAAGAAAAAGGTTGGAGCAAGTACAACCAAAGGTTGATACCCTCACACTGTAGGTGATATGGCCTTGGAAAAAGTTACAAAGATGATATAAAGTTAAAGAGTTTAATTTACTCTAGGTTAGAATAGAGCTAAAAGCGAACACTGGAGATTTATAAAATTATGAAAACAATAATCAATACAGTTTAAAGATAGATGGGGAGAAGTCCAACCACACAAAGTAGTAATCAACTGCATATTCCCAGGGAGTAGCAAGTCTTTGGAACATGTTGCTAGCTGCTGCATTATGTGCTGACTCATTCTGTGTAACTTCAAGAGAGTCAGTTTTTTTTTAAATTGGGGCAGAGACCATGCCAAACAGAAGGTGAGAGGATTAACAAATAAACACATGATCCATGTAATGTCTGGGACTGGCTTTCATCACTTCATGAGGTTGGAAGGAAAATTTCCATTTATTTTGCTCTCTCATTGATTTGGTAATTTTGTCTCCTTCAGGACTCTAAGTGGATGCACCTAGGTGCAATAATCCAGTCATCTAGCTTGACGGAGCTTGCTCCAAAAGGCACGTTATGTTGTTTTTAAATTATTCTGCAGTATCTCTATAAAAGGTTTTCAAAATTGCTGCTCAAGTTTCATACCTCTATATCATCTATCAGATACCATTTCCCTTACTTTTGCAAATTACACTGAAGTCTGATGCTGTCTCTTTCTCAGACTTCTAAGCTTTCATCTACATTTCATTTATCCTACTACTATTAACATGCCCTTTGCCTTTTGCTCTAGGGTACCTTTACCATCTGTTCCACTTGTTCTTCCACCTTTTCTGCAGCATAAAACCCACCACCTTTTCAACCCTCTCCAGTTCAAAGAGTCATACGAGATTTAAAATGTTATTTTGTTTTTCTCTCCACAGGTGCAGAGTTTCACCAGCACACTGTTATAATTTTTTTAAAAAATTAACCCATTTTCCTAATCAACCTGTTCAGAGATATTATTACACACCTCTGGAGCAGGTGGGACTTGAACCTGGTCCAGGGGCAGAGAAGCACATTGTTTTTATTTCTGACCTTTTAATGATCTTGGGCAATAATTTGTTAATAAGTCAAATGAGAATAATTGGAAAATGTGTTACCAATTGTCTTGATGTTATTGTGTTGGATGAGTTGTTAAACTAAGGCTCCTTCCTGCCCTCTCTGATGAATATAAAAGACCCAAACCCTTTGAAGAGCAGGTGAGTCACCACAGTGTCCTGGCCAATATTGGTCAGCCAGCAGAGAAAACAATATATCTGACTATTATCTCAGAGAGGAATGGGACTGACTGGACTCAGTGGGTTGAATGGACCCCTTCTGTATCACGATTCTATGACAAGGACATAGGTGCAAAACTGAGGCAACTTCTGGCTGATTTCTCTCTGCATTATTTCTGTTCTTCTTAAAAGTGGTGAACATTTTTTTCAGACCAACAACATAAGGCATGGAAGCAAAAGCAAAATACTATGGATGCCGGAAATCAAATAAAAGCAAGTGAAGCAGCATTTGTGGAGAGAGGAAAAAAATTGATAAAAGATGATCAACCTGAAACATTAACTTTGCTTCTCCCTTGCTGGATGCTGCCTGACTTATTGAATCCATTAAATAAAACAATGAACGCTGAAAATAAAGTATGGGTTTTTAACATCCAGTTATCTGAGTCTGCTATTCTAACCTCAGCAACCTCTGAGCAAAGGCCCTTGAGTAAAGTGAGTACCCAATCTCCAAGAAAACAGATAAGTGGAAAGTGACTAATGAAGCTGGAAGAGGCTGTACAGTTACCAAAGAATGCAGCTGTCAAAACAATGTTGGAAAAAATCAACTAAATGGAGGGGCCAGAGGATGATTTTTGATTCATTTTAAACAACAAGCATTGGCAGTTAGACGACATTCTCTATTGGCAAAGGGAACAGTTTTTTTTTTTAAGAAAGAGGTTCTTATCAAGACCTTACTGTGTGCAATTACCTTGTTTGTCTCCAAAACAAGAATTACACATGAAAGCAATTAATTGGTGCGATGGGACCCTTTTTTTTCATAAATGCCTGACCTGCTGAACATTTTCAGCAATTATTGTTTTAGAGTTTTGATATCCACAGTACTTCTGTAACTGCTGTAAATCTCTTGAAGGCATTGTGAAAGGTACCATATAAATGACAGTTCTATCTTTCTAAACGGTGTCAGACGAATAACAGAAATTTCACATGCTGTTCTTGCTGAAATTCAAAATGTCATAAGAGTTTAAGAACAATGTTAAAGGTTTCCTAGACTTTATAAGCTATGGACAATTGTACAGTCTCATCAGTTCTAGTACACAGACCTGCCTGTCTATCTGTAGATATGCAGTACACTTGTGAATCCTCCAAAGCTGGGGCCAAGTTGGTTTAAGGCCCAGGCTCTCACTCACTCGGTAGGTGACAAACCTCGATAGCATATTTTTGTGAAAATTACAGCAAAGTTACTTTAGGGGAAAATCAAAGGTTCTGGATGAAAGCAGCCGAAGGTTGACCGGGGCAGTATTTACATTAAAAGATAATTAACATTAAGAAATCCAGTAAAAATGGAAAGACAGACCTTTGACCACCACTAAGCTCGGTAAGGTTGTCCTTCCAGGCATCTCCAAGAGCTACTTTGAATTCAACTCCATCTAGAATGGTCTTGCCTTCAGGAGGTACCAACATGGCATTAGCTCCAGGAAGCAATGTGGAGAAAATTGAGCCAAAATCTTTGTCTACCTGTTAAGTCATAAAACAAAAATAATATTGGCCAACATACTAAGGTGAAAATACACTGATTACGGTTTACTTATTTCAGGAGCTTCATACAAGTTGCACATTCTACTTAGTCACAAATCGATAAGCAATCCACATCTTTAGATTCTCTACTTTAGATGTCAGTAATGGTATGGAGGTCCATTTAAGAGTTATAACATACAATAAATTCACACATATTTGAAACAAAAAGTCCACATGCGTTGAAATCATATATTAAAGTCTAAAAGGTACAGTTTGTGGAGTATTACAATTTTCAGTCCATTCCAAACTGATGCAATGAGGGTCAATTGTCTCATTCCAGACTTTTAGCAATCCAATTTGAAGAATGTATGTGCCTTCTTTAACCCCACAGCCGAAAGAGGCAAAAATGACAGTTGTTTTCTTTTTATTTATCAATCAGCAATAGGAAAGAAAGTCAAAATCAGAAAACATTATATTCAAAGAAAGCCCCAGGCAGTCTGACAACTTCAGTTTGAGATCTGTGAATCCTTTGCTTTGAATAATTAATCTTAGGTCTTATCCAATGAGTCCTAATTATTTCTTACAACTAATCACTAATATTCAGCCAGTAGCACTTGTGCTTTACTTGATGTAATTATTGACTTGACTTCTGCTTATTTTGCCTTGTACATTCTGTTTGTTCAAAAACAATGAAAACATCATCCATCCCAACAAAATACAGATATAAGCATTAACCTTTACCTGTTTCCAAGCAACATTGAGAGCTTCATTTTTCTTTTTATCCAGCTCTTCAATAGTTGAAAGAATTTTTGCTTTGTCATTTTGAACTATCCTTTTTTTCTTCATCAAATCATTGTACTGTGAACAAGCATAAAGGGAGTTCACTTAGAAATTATGAATGTTTCTCTTATGCAGTTGCACCTTTCTTACACATGTTAAAAATGCAGGTATCCCAGACAGACAGACAGACAAACAATGTGTGGTGGTGTAGTGGTAATGTCACTAGATGAGCAATGCAAAGGCCCATGCTAATTCTCTTGGGACATGGGTTCAAATCCCACACTACAACAGCTGGTGGAATTTCATTTCAATTAACAAATATCTGCAACATAAAGCCGATCTCAGTAATAGTGACCTTGAAAACTATCACTGATCATTGAAAACAACCATCTGTTTCATTCGTGTTCTTTGGGAAAGGAAATCTGTTAACTTTACTCTGTCTGGCTAACGTGTTACTCCAGATCCACAGCAATGTAATTGACTCAAACAACCTCAGTCTACCAAGTCATTCAGTTCAAGGGAAATTACGGATGGGCAACAATTGCTGGCCTTGCAAAAGACAGCCCACATCCCATGGAGGAATAACAAAATAAGGTGACCTTTAGATACCTTTGGACATAATTCTCAGCCACTTCATAGAAACCCACTTGTAATTTTAATGGGTATGCACACAATGCAATTACGTAGGACACATCCAACAGCCTTAAAAACCTTACGTGCTGTTTACAGTATTACTGCCAATCTTTTCAAACCCATGGGATATTTGTTCATTAGAAAACAAATAGTTGGCAGGAATGCCAAGTCAGAAGGTGAAACAAAAACAGAACTGTTCCAAATGCCAGCCCCCAAAACATCCACTCCTTCAACTAGAGGATAAACATGGCTCTTTATTATAGCTATTAACAAGGCTATAATTACCATTTTCAAAAAGAAAAACAGCTGCAGGGGATGGATATCACCATGTATGCATATCATTGCTCTTATTTAATAACTGAGATTTTTTTTTAATAGCAGAACAAATGAATCATGCCCAATACTTATAGAATAACATATCACATTGTTGGCAGGCCTTAATAAAAAGCTCTTATATGCAAAGATAGCCTTGAGTCACCTATAAGCTGCTATAATTAATAGGCAACTAAATATTATACAGTTATGTTTGCTGCAGGGATATTTTTTCAAGACTAAGTGCAAGGCCAAAGAGAATCCAATTTATTTACATTTAAGAGGACTTAAGGTGCTCTTGTATTAAGTAGAAAATAAAATAGCTCTGCCAACTGCCTGAACAGATATGCAGGGAATAAAGCATCAGCTCTATGAACATGAGAACTACAAATTTATTTTTGTTTCTTTTGTGTTCTAAAGTGATTTAAATGTAAAGTCATACCCGCTCCTCTGCTTGGCTTAGCATGCTCATTGCCCTCACATTCACATTTTTGCCCAGTGTATCTTTCTTCTCCTGTAACTGCTGAAGCCGCTGGCCTGCTTCTTTAGGATTATTTGCTTTAAAATCATAGACTGTGTTGGGCTGGCCAAAGAGATGTTTTTCAGAGGAAATCCACTCGTACTCCTTCAGCATTTTGGTCACCTGCACAAGTTTTAAATAGATCAAGAAAGGGAAGAGAGCTATTGTAAAGATCAACAATATAATTCCAACTTCTTAAACAGATCCTGCTAAACATTTGATTCATGAAGAAAATATCATTCTTTTTGCCTGCACTGGAAACTAACTGCCCAACTATTTGCCAAAAGCTTGCAAACACAATTTGCCTTCTGTATTCATTTGCACCAGGTTTGGAATTTCTAAGTAATTCTTACTCTGACCTTTAACAGAACACAACAACATTTTGGGTACTGTTTGCGTATTTAATGGGAATTGCAACTACGTTAAGTGCATGGAGGCTTATGGTCACCAGAGTGTCTATTATTTTAATAAAGATGTCAAGTTACAAGTAGTTCCATATTCAGCCTGACAATTGGAAGTCGCAAGAGATGGAAAGGAAAGGAAGGCAGGATTCATAAACGCTTAAAAGACCATGGGAAACCTTTATAGCATACAGCTACTACAGTCTACATCTCTGTCTCATTTACTGATCCCTCAAATGATCTTCCTCCAGCAGTCACCAAGACCAAAAACAATTCCCACAAACGTCTATCTCCAGCCTCATGCAGAGACAGAATTTTGACACATTGCTTGATTTAGAGTACAGTATCATTCTCCATATGAGATCAGTTTTAACCCATAACATAACCAGTATCAACCATCTCTCCCCTGAAACTCTACCCCGTACTTATCATTTCACAAATAGACTTCTCCAAGGCTCTCCTGACCAACCAGTCTTTCCCACTATTGAGCCACTTAGTTTTGGAACTTCATTCCTGCTGTCCTTATCATGTTCCGCTGACTTGCTGCATTCTAGCAAATTGACAGGTCTTTCTCAGACCCTCTTCCAACATTGGCCTAACTGTTGCTCGATATTTCAACCGTGCTTTCCAACACTCTCATCAGTCTTCCCTGCTCAGTATACCCCTGGTGGTCAGGTGATCCCAAGTTACCTCCTTGTATGCATATGGATAGTGTCACTAGTTTGTTTCATGGAGTAAAATGGTGAAAAAGTGAGAAACTTGATTCAAAGCATTAATTTTATAAAATTATTAAAATGTTAATGTAAGACAATGTAACATGAAACAATTTTATTTAGTCACTACAATCACTAATTCATTTTTATTTTCATGTAAACCTGCTTGCTTTCATCAGAATTCTAACAATTTTTAACTTTTATTAAAAGGTAGACCTAAACATGAGAAGGGGTAAAAGATCTTTTTATTTACTAGAGCATCAGAAACACCAGCACTTATAGATCTGAAATAGAAGTTTATGACAGACCTCAATATAGAAACCAACTGGAAGCCTGATTTACATTTAACAATAGAGACAAGTATTGATGGAGGATGTATTAAACAATTTGTCATGAACTTGGATCTGTTATGGAACTTTCAGTCAAGTAACAGTAAGATTTTACATAAATGTATGCTCAGTTTTTACAGCTGTGTCGCCATATATATTTTGCCACCTTCAATGTGGAAAAATAATTAGAAGAATAAGACAGATTGTTGGATTGGTGATGGAAGTTTACAAAGATTTAACAACGAATTTGCTCTTATCATTCAGGTTACATTCAAATCACTCTGTATAATTTAAGTTGCCATGCTCATGAGCATTTGAAAAAGTCATCTTGGCAAGGTTCCCAAAGGCAGTGGAAAGGAAACTACGCCCTGTGTTTGTGCCAGCCTTTAAAGTCTCTCTTGGAAAATTGGACGTGGAAATCAGTGTGCAGAATTGTCACCAACAGCAACTAACTGAGCCATGACTAGGTCATAGGAAGTCCACTCAAGGACCACCAACAATCTTTAAGGGTAGTGAAAGCAGATTATGACTAGCTCAGTCTTGTGGTACCTACCCCATTTTTTAAACCCACAAAATGCATAATTCCTGGCAGGATGGCTACTAATTTGTAATTGTACAGGAGCTAATCTTTCCTTTAATCACTTGTTACTTTCTCTTTATTCTCTTGTACTAACCTTAGCAGCAGCATCAGCGGTGTCCTTTTTATGTTTATTAATGTTGTGCTCCAATTCCTGAATTTTCAACTGTGCTTCATTTTTTTGTTTCACTAACTCAGATATAGAATTGGTTTTGATTTGTATTTCTTTATTCTGAGACTTTATGGCTTCCTTTTGTTTAGCCAGATCATTCTGAGCCTTCTTCACGGCTTCCTACAATTAAAAGAATAAGACATACATACAATTACCAAAATTACATTACCTCCACTTTGTGAATCATAGGTTTCTATTTCAATATATTAGTACCTTATTATTAGCCACTTCTTCAGCCATGTTTTCAATCTGTTCTTTGTAAGATTTGATGGCTTCATCCACAGCCTCAATCTGCTGTTTGTACGCAGTCTGTTCACGCTTCAACTCTTCCAGTTCCAAAACCAAGGCATCCACTTCCTACAGACACAGCATCACAAACTAGGATCAATGGAGGAAAAAAAAGCAAAGGGAAAGATTTTCCTAATTTCTCCTACACTTCATTTTAAAACACACAACTGAAAACCCTCGATCAAACATCCATTCAAAAGGAACCAGCTTTTGTGAATTGAAACAAGACTGAAATTTTAAAATACTTTAAAAAAGTATAAATTTGTTGAAGAGCCAGTGATCCTGAATAGGAAATGTGGAAAATCTATTTTCAAATTGAAATCTAGCTTGCTTAAAATCATATCTATGCCTTGATAAAAGAAATAATGTAGAACACATGCAGCATTTTTGTATAATCTGCTACAGGAGCATTACAAGATAGACCTGAAATATCTTTAAAAGGAGACATTTCCCTGTGTTTTCAAACTGGATAACATTTCTTTTGATGTGAAGGCAACCTACATGAACCACGCATTTGCCTTTACGCTTATTTTTAATTTTCCATTGCTTTTCTCCCATCATCCACCTTTGCCATAGAAACCAGGAGCATGAATAGGCTATTTGAGTTTGCTCCACCATTCAATTAAATTATGGCTGGTCTTCTATCTCGACGCCATATTCCCACTTTCTCCCATTCTTTGAAGCCTTTAAAAAGAGCAATCCACCGTTAGGTCACCTCTGATACTACTCTTGGGGTCATAAGAATTATCCAATCCAATTTCCTCTCTACACAGTGGGCAGGTGAATGTGAAAATTAGAAATTTAGTAATACAAATCAACCCTGCAACCTACAGAAATAATTTACTTCCAAAAGATCTGCACACACCTTTGACTCCACTTTTCTGTCACATATTACAGGGGAGAAAAAAAAAAAACAATCAGAGCTGTGCAACTTTGACTCGCTATCAATTGGATTTCACTACACACAACAGATCTCTTATTCAGACAAACTGGATTTGCGACAAACTATACATCTCATTGCAATGTTAAGCACCTGTTGTTTCCCTTTTGTTTTCTTATTGGACAAATCAGCCTTCTTTTTGGCATCATCAAGCTTTTTCTGAGCTTCCTTCAGTTCTTTCTCCCTCTCAAACTCTGCATTTTTCATCTTGTTTTCCAAGATCTTGTACTTTTCTTCAGCCTTCTTTTGAACTTCTTTTGTTTTTTTAAGTGTCTCTTCGCACTCACCTAAAATTAAAGGACATCATAAAATCTGTGCCACTTTAAGGTCACACTGCAGTACTTTTTACTCAAACAGCCAATGACCAATTTGCTTACTGCAAATGAAAAAATAGTTGTCAAGACTTTTGTGGAAAGTAAACTATAGAAGGAAAAGTCTTGCAATGTGAAAAGGACAGTTTCAAATACTAATCAAGAAAATGCTCCTTGCATCATTAATTTCTTTTCATTTGTATTTGAAGAAATTTAATTTACAGGAGGTGGCAGAGTGATGACAGAGTCACTGGATCAGTGTTTTGGGTTCCCAGATTTACAATCTGAAGGCATGGGTTCAAAACCCACAACGTGAAGTAGAGACACTGGAGTTCAATAAAAATATGGTGTTAAAAGCTAGCCTAATGGTACCCACAGAATCATTGTCAACTGTTGTAAACACCCATCTGGTTCACTAACATTATTCAGGAAAGGAAATACAAAATCCTTATCAGGTCTAGCCTACAAGTGACTCCAGTCTCTCGGTAAAGTAATGGACTCTTAACTGTCCTCTGAAAGAACCTAGCAAGCCAGTTCAAGAACAATTAGGGGTGGGCAATAGACATCGGCCAAGCCACTGATGACCACATCCCTTGTATCAAAAAAAAGGTTATATTCAGGTCACTTTTACGAATTCAAGGCAAGTTATCCTGGAGAATTTAACACCTTCCCCAGTTTCACATTAAACCTCTCATGAATACTTGTTTGTTAAATCAAGCCTCTTGGGCAGTTCCATGCATTCACAAAATTTACTTTTGACTTAAGTCAGAAGGTTTTCTATAAAGAAACTCATTACTGAGTTTTAAAGCTTGAACAATTTATGCCATATGGTTTCAGATTATAAAGGTAATAGTAATTGCTGATTCTCTTTTTTGAAAGAGACAAAGTTCAGTCAAGGTCTTCCCTTTCCAAAGCCATGTTAGCTATTGGAGCTTATTTCATTAGGTATTTTTCCAGATTACTCTTTTAACATACAAAGCAGTAGATTCAATTCTAATGATTCACCCCACTGTTGCTGTTTATCATTTTTAGTAACAATGTTAACAGAAACAAATGCCAGTCACCATACTGCAATGCCATCTCCCAGAAGTACTGCAAAGTAGCCATTTTACACATTAACATTTAAACGCACTTGGCAACATGTATTCAAAATTGAGGCCTTATAAAATTGCATGCTGGAGTATATACTTCTTTGACGATATCCTGCTTTCATGAAAATTATGCTTAAAATTTCACTAATTCATCCCTCTGACTCCTTACAGTTATAGTATCAAATACCAATAGTTTTTTGAAGGGTTTCAAACTCCTCCTGCTGTTTATGGTAGGAGCTCTGCTGGAGCTTTACTAATAGTAATTCTTCCTCCTGAGACTTTAATTCGCATTGCAGTTTCAGCTCTCGGTATCTGAAAAGATTTGAAAGAAACAAAAAATTTGTATCATCAAACGGAACACATCAGAACACAAATAAGGGTGTTTTCATTTTATTTACTGAATCGTTTCGGCTTAAATGGTTAAGTGTACAGTCAAGCCTTTCTCTTTCTTGTTCTTTGTTAGGTCTGTACTTGTCATCCTTTTCATTACACTGCCAAAATTTAATCCATAGAACTTCACCGACCACAAACTTTAAATCTGGCCAGTGCCTTTTACATAGGAGTCCAAAAGCATGCAAATACAAAAGTACCTCTTTCCAGCAGCCCAGCTTTGCCACTACCACCTGACTTTTCAAAAAATAAGTATGATTTATACCCATGGAACAGAACGCGAGGAAAAGTTAGAATCAAATGGATTAGCGTGGCTCAAAGTTGGGAAGGAGAATGAAGAGAAGGCAGATATTTGTTTCTGGCTCTATTGGATATTCATTCAGAATCAGAAGGGAAAGGTTTACAAAATAACAGTGGGCACTTGGACTTACAAAGGATCAGTTGTCAACAACATTTTTGCAATATACAAATAGATAGTGGTGAAAAGAAGGTCAGTGCTGGCTACTTGGAACATTTTGAACTCCCTCTCAAAAAAAAAGCAAGTCCCAGTTAAGGCAAGTGGATCCTTAGGGGAGGGTATGGCTTGTTGGCCAGCAACTGGTACAGAGAGAGAAAAAAATAAGGCAGAGAATGAATGATCTCAATTATTATGTCAAAGAGGTTCATGGGCTCTTATATTTTGGAGGCAAGGGTGGAGAACAGCCTAAGAACAGAGTCAATAATGGGTAAAAAGAATAGAAATAGCTTTGTTTGTGAAACTGTGGGAGGTTTGAGCAGAGGGCAGCAAGGTCTGATAGCACCAAGAGATCCAGTCAGATTTGATGATGAATGGTTCAACTACATGTACGTCATAAACATTCAAGTCAATGCCTGTTGAACTTAAGGGAACAAATATGGGTAAAATACCAAAGGAGAAAGCTTCAAATGGACAGAGAAGGCTTTTACTTGCACGCGAACATCAAAGACAGAGGTAAGGAAGCGATTCAGCAGATTGACAGATACAGATATATTTTGATAAATGGAAGGCCAAAGGCTAGACACTTTCAAGTCTTAATTAAGTTAGAAGTCCTGTAATAAAATGTAGTTGACTTGCAGATACACTGGAGGTTCCTTACAGCACCAATTAACTAAAACCCAAATTCAGAGATGGGTGTGGCAGATGAATGAGTCCATGAATTGATGGAAGTTCAGATTATCTATGAGCACACTAATTGAGATTTTCTTGAGGAAAAGGCATTGAGAATTGAGATGGCATATAAAAAGGAAAAAAAAAAGCAGGTCAGACAGAGACTGTAGAGGAAAAATAACGTCAAAATTTCAAGTAGGTGACCTTCCAACGGGACTGGAATAGGCTATACATGTTACAGTTTTTCGGCACATACACAGAGGCAAGGAAGCTATTGTGTGGTGGGGTGTGGAATGGAAAAGGGTGGTTAATGATTAAATAACAAAAGAGATTGATGATGTAAGGAGTTATTAAAGGGATAATGAAGAAATAAAAGATGGATTTGAGACAGTTTACAATCACTCAAGGAACTCAGTCGTGGTCTCAATGATGGGTGGTGTATTCCAGAAAAGCATTAGATGATGTCATCAGCAATGAAAAACAGGCAACAAGCAGTAGAATAACGGCTGTTGGGAGCAGTGAAGGAGAATGGGAACTAGCAGGAACAGACTGATGCCAGTACAATGGGGACTCAAAACGGTCCCAACAGAGAAACACAAAACCCCAACTCATTAAAGAATACGTGGAAAATGGCAGTGGCACTGGAGTAAGAGTGAAGTTGAGAGTTCTAAACATTAACTCCTAGTGCAAGTTTTTTCTTGTAGGCTTCAGGATCCTGTCATCAGGTTCAGCTGGGAGTCAGAATTGGAGAAGAACAGTCATTCAATTTCAATTTCTCCTGAACTGGCCAAATAACGTCCAGAGAACGGGCTCTGCATTCAATTAAAGATGATACGTGGGCCCTGGGCATTGGAAAGGTGACCTCAATCAAGATTTTTAAAATTTAAAATAAAAAAGCCTCTCAACTGCTGAGCCATTGTTGTATGGTTGGAAGGGATGACCTTGAAAACACCACCTGTGGGGGCTGCTGAAGCCAAGCAAAACAGGAGGGCCTCTAAACTGCCTGGAGCTCTGGCCCTGCTGCTTATGTGCTTGCAGGCAGCTGCCTTGAATCTTGAATGCCTCTGGGGACTTGAAGACAAACTAGGAAACTGCGAAATAATTCCACATGAACCCCTAGCAGTTCAGGAAAACAACATGGAAGTGGAATGGAGCCAAGAAGCCGATCTCTGTGCTTGCCCCATTCAGGGCCTAAAAACCAGAACCCAGTTGAGTCTGAAGCTTGTGGATGCAAGCCCAATTTAGGCTGACAAAGAAGTGTTGTATCAAGGGACAACTTAGATTGTCTGAGCTGCCTCTCTTCAAGGGAGACATAAAACAGAAGCCCCCTATCCATTTCAATAGTTCAGTTAGTTTTGGCAATAGAGCTCTCTCTGCCAGTTTTCTGTTCAGCATTTCTTCTTAACAAGCACCACAAACTGATCAACTAGTTACTCATTTCATTCCTGCTGATAAGGTATGAAGGGTTTCTTTATGTCAATAAGACAAGCAAACCTATTTCAAAACAGTACATTGCATGTGAAGCACGTTGAAGGTTTCTGATAGATTTGTGTAACACTCTGCCAAGCCTAAGTTCTCTCCTTGCATTGGGGAGGATGGGGAGTGGGGATGGAGACAGTTAAAATGTTAACTTGCACAAACAGTTGTTGATTTATAACCATCTGCATTTTAAATAATCATATGGATAGAATAAATGATGTTTTAATAACCCAAGGAGCAGACATACTTTTCAACAATATTCTGGAGACTTGCCAGCTCTTTATCCACTTGCTGCAATTCAGTTTGTTTAGATTTGAGCTCATTCTGGACATCCTTCAGCTCTTGGAGTTTAACCAGCACAGACGCAGACTGCATACGAGCACCTGGTTAACAGAATTAGTGCAGAAAGGGTCACAAAGCTTGCAAACGAGAACGAAAAGCACCATATAAAAGCACATAGATAACAAGGTGTAGAGCTGGATGAACGCAGCAGGCCAAGCAGCATCAGAGGAGCAGTAAAGCTGACGTTTCGGGTCTAGACCCTTCTTCAGAAATGGGGGAGGGGAAGGGGGTTCTGAAATAAATAGGGAGAGGGGGAGGTGGATAGAAGCTGGATAAAGGAGAAGATAGGTGGAGAGGAGACAGACAGGTCAAAGAGGCGGGGATGGAGCCAGTAGAGGTGAGTGTCGGTGGGGAGTAGGGAGGAGATAGGTCAGTCCAGGGAGGACGGACAGGTCAAGAGGGCGGGATAGGGTTAGTAGGTAGGAGATGGGGGTGGGGCTTGGGGTGAGAGGAGGGGGATAGGTGGGAGGAAGGACAGGTTAGGGAGGCGGGGATGAGCTGGGCTGGTTTTGGGATGCGGTAGGGGGAGGGGAGATTTTGAAGCTTCCTCCCCCTCTCTCCCTATTTATTTCAGAACCCCCTTCCCCTCCCCCATTTCTGAAGAAGAGTCTAGGCCTGAAACGTCAGCCTTCCTGCTCCTCTGATGCTGTTTGGCCTGCTGTGTTCATCCAGCTCTACACCTTGTTATCTCAGATTCTCTAGCATCTGCAGTTCCTGCTATCTCATATAAAAGCACATTCCTGCTCACTGTAGCCTATTGTATACCATGGAAACAAAGGGATGGCCTTCATTTTAACAGGACCAAATAATGACGTAGCCTGATAAAACTCACAAATCTAAGCAAAATATCAGACTTTGCTGGAAATGGTGTTCTACTGCATTGATTCTTGGGTTGCAGAGTAATTTTGTCCATTAGATATTACTTTTGATCATTTTCTTTCCCACAGTACATGACTAAACACCTAGATATATTTATCCCTGATCCAATTGATACTTAATAATCTTAGAAAGGCAGTTTGCGAGGCACATGTAAATTACAAATATCTGGCTAATTGCTGAGCACTGTATTTGAAAATGTGGCTGTACACGGGTACCAAGTGAATTTTTACTGCAGAAACCAAGGGAATGGTTCAGCGAAGTTGCAGTCATTCAATTCAATAACCAGTTTACAGCAAGTCTTGATGTGACTTGCGACTGCAGTTGTGTGGGCAAATGCTTTGAATCTTGTCTTTCCTAATCATTTATCTGTACATGAAATACATTTAAAAAACAACTGTGAATGAGGATCTTAGACAGTGCATTGGAGGTCAGCATATTCCAAATCAATCTAACAGGAGTCAAGAGATTTCAAGAGCTGCAATGTAAAAATGCTGAAGGAACCTATTTATGATGGTTCAGTTCTGTTTCTCTCAAAGTATCTTTGTTTTGTTTTTAATTATACCAACATTACAGTTACCACAAATCTACTGTTTGTAGTCAAGACTATTCATTGATTTGCTGTTCAATGATTCTGATTAGAAGTATATAGCCCAAGCTGATAAAATGGTTAACTTACAAAAGAAAAATTGTGAGGCATATTTTATTTGATAAACAGAATAGTGACGGTTTCAGCATCACATTACTGAACATAATTATTTCTTTAGTATTATTAAGTAAGCCAGTTTCAGACTTCAAGTACAAGCTATTCTATTTAAGTACTGCGAATTGAGAAAAGACAAGTTTTGTATTTGGTTCTTGGAGGGTATAACATACCAACTGAGGTAATTTTAGTGTGGTTCCAGGATACTTTTTTTTTTAATGATGTGGTCAAGAAAGTATGAACACAATAGTGTTTGAGCAATCTGTGCCAAATAGATAAGAAAGCTAACCTCCACTTAACGTTCCCTGTGGGTCAAATGTATCTCCACCAATCGTGACTGTCTTCGTCATTATCCGAGGATCAAAGGTCACCTTCTTGGCATTATCCAAGCAGTCACATACTAGCACGGACCCAAAAACGTACTCCATTGCCTTCTTTAATTCATGCTCATATCCAACAAGTGACAAGGCTGTGTGCACATTGTCCACACCCACCTGAAGTAAAGAAGCCAAAAAAAATACTATAATCAGGTGTAAAACAGGCAACATACTGGAGTTTTATATACAGTTGCATAGACTACAGCACAGATGTGCTCATCTAGTTTCCATTAAATGCATTTGTGCTGCTTATCACCATACCTTGAACTAGTATGGTCCACACTGATAATTTTTTCTCCGTGAATTATCTAATGGATGTGTTACAAATCTTAGATTTGTGACTTCCGGTCTCAGACTTCTTCAGTGACGGAATTATTTTCTCCACATTAAATTCAAAGAACCAAACACCACGAGTGAAGATCCATTTCTTGCTCTTTTGTGGTGTTTTAGACCAACAATCTGGCATTTAAAGCATATTCTTCAAAACTCAGCTTCACTGGGCTAGTCATGTGGCTTGCATGGAGGATTCTCACATAGCAAAGGCAGTGCGTTACAGCCAGCTGAACCTGGGGCCAGCATCACAGAACAACTCAAACTTAAATACAAAGGCAATCCAAAAACCAACTTCACAGCTTGTATAGGGATCCAGCTTACATGGGTAAAACTCAAACAGACACAAATGGAGAAGTCGCTGTCTTCAAGCAATTTTGACATTTATGGAGAACAGAGTTAAATGTCTCCAGGACTACCTAGTGCTCATTCCTCCAATATCGACTTTGTATGCAGTTTTTGTTTTAAACTTGCTCATGGGATGTAGGAATTGCTGAGTAGGCCTGCATTTATTATCCATCCCCAATTGCCTGGAGGTGGTGGCAGTGAGCTGTCTTTTACACCACTGCAATCCTTGGGGAGTAGGGGCAGACACAATGCTGTTACTAGAATGCATTGAAAGAACTCAATCAAGATAGTCACAGCAAGTTACCTGTCATACAGAGTAGTTTTTAAACACTAAATATGGTCTAGAGATAGTTTAAACATTCGTATGTACACAATTCATTTTACAAAGCACACATACAAACAAACAAGAGTGGACTGTATATGGAGGATCACTATTAAGTTCACAGTCCAAACGTTTCAACATTCTGGGCTTACCAGATTTTTGGCTGTCTTAACAACACTTTCATTAATACACTTAGCAGAAATTTTGTTGAGTGGTATGATGGTGTATCTTCGTTTAAGCTCCCCTTTTTCTAACAGTTTCTTGCCGGTTACCTAAACAAAGAAACAGCATTGAGTAAATTGTTATATTGATCATTTTTAGAGCAACATTAGTCCCAGAAGCCTTAAAGGAACGACATCGGCATTTAGGAGTGGCAATATGATAAAATTTGTTTTAGGTTAATTGGCCTGTGCTAATATAGGTATTATCTGTGCTTTTCATTTACCTCAGTGTCCACCACGACATTATACAGACGACCTCCAGCAACCACTTCTAGAGCTGTTGCCGTAGAGATATCTTTCACAGAGAGAAGAGTGGCAACAAGACCTTTCACACGATTAGAGTCCCAATTTTTTTCAGGATCCCTAAAGTATTGAAGATTTTGTTTTCAATTAGATTTTAACAATAGATACTAAAAAAGATTATTAAAATGCCAGTTGAAACCCAATTCCCACTCTGATAAAATTCCTGCAAAGTAGTTAAATTATAAAGGCAGATGTTCCCACATTGTGACAAGCATGTAGGAAAAGTAATCAACAACATTGTACAATTGAAGAAGACACTCAATAGAGAACATACCTCCACCATACTGTGCTACTTAACATTACAAGTATGCAACTCTACCTTGAAGCCTTTCCCTGTTTCGTCTATGCACTAACTACAGAATTGCAAAGCAAAAACAGCATTTCACTACGAACCTCTAATTTGAGGAGGCTTCAGTCCAATGTACATCCAACAACTTACACTGAAAAGTCTGCTCACATTTTAACAGTAAAAGCAAGATCAATTCGCTCCACCTCCCAAAGTTAATGGGTGCTTTATAAAAAAAAAAATCCAGAATGCAGAGTTTTGGCAAAAGCTAAATCAGTTCTTCTTTGGGCCATACCGTAAATGTGCACCAGGCTTCTTAAAAGCTGTTGATTAGTTTCTTAGATATGTTGCTTACAAGCAGATAAATAGACTAATGAACAGGGGGAAAATTACCTACAATCAACGTATAGTATATAATTTTTAATGTATTTTAAAATGTTGTTAAATCAGCTGTAGAATCAAATCTTTCTACATGAAGAATGAAAAGTCAAACAAAACTGCCAAAAAATTTTAGAATTTTTTTATTCACTCGTGAGACATGCATTGCTGGCTTCGCAGCAATTTTATTGCCTGTCTCTAGTTTCCCATGGGAAGGTGGTGGTGAGCTGTCTTCTTGGACTACCGCAGTCCACGCACAGTAGGTGGACCCACAATGTCATTTGGGAGGGAATTCAGGATTTTGTCCCAGAGACAGTGAAGGAATGGCAATATATTTTCAAGTCACAATGGTGAGTGACTTGGAGGGGAACTTGGAGTGGTGATGTTCCTATGTACCTGCTAGAATGTTAGAAAATATACTGTCACATTGTTAACTTTAAGATTTATGATTGCATTACGATAGCTTGTCAAAACAATGTGCACCCGCTTGTTCTACAGTTACCCGCAATAATTAAGGTTTTAAAAAGTTATCTCTGCAGAGAAGTGTTTTATTCATATGCACAATTATATTGACATACAAACTTACTTGTATTCAAAATTCAAACTAGGGAACTTTGCCATCAAAGCTTCATAAGACTCTCTCAGTTTGTTAACCATCCGTGACAGTCCTTGGCGCTGGTCCAAAAGTTTCTCCTCTCTCCCATCTTTAAAGGAAATAATGTTAAAACACATGATAACACTAATAAATAAAGCTTTAGTGCTTCTGTTCACATTGTACAAACATTCAAATTAGGAGTTGGATTAAACCATCTGGTCCCTCAAGCCAGCTCAAATCCTGCTTATCACCGCAAGGTCTTAAAAATACCCAAATGATCGTGCCCCCATCTTTCTAGAAAAAAGAACTCCAGAAGACTCCTTATTTATAAACTGTATCCCCGAGTTCTAGTTTATCCCACAAGGGGAAAAGTCCCTTCAGTGGCCATCCTGACATGTCACCTCAGGATCCAACAGACTTGATAAGACCACCTTGTAATCTTCTAAACTCCAATGGATACAGGCCAACCTTCCCACAGAAGACAAATCCTTCACCTCAGGCATCAGTCAAGAAAACCTTACCTGAACTGCTTCTAATACAATTATAGTCTTTTCTGCTATTATGCGTGTTTCGTCAACACAAATTGGCTGTAACACGATAGATGAGTAGGTGAACACTGTTTGTAAAACGCGAACTTTCACATACGTGTGTTGGCTATTACGTGATTCCACCCCCAACACCTTAAGTGTCACAGTGCGCGGAGAAATACAATGTTTACGTCAACAGAGTCTCCGTGTCAACATGTTCAGTTGACTTGTGAGCTTTATGGTGAAGTTCTTTTTGACAGATACTCCGTAATTTTCATGCTATTTCTATCTCCAAACACAACCTCTTTCCTTCAGCCCATGAACCAAAGCTTATTATTTACAGCACACGTTTAAGGGGCTAATTGCAGCTACTGAGGGGGATAAGAAGGAGTGGTCTTCAATTTTGGAAGAGCTTTAACATGAAAAATGCTATTGCCATTATCATGAAGGCCTGGGGTGATGTCAGTTAGGACTGCTTGCATGAAGTTTGGCAGAAGCTTCTCCCAGATTTTATTAATGATTTTAAAGGCTTTGAACCATCAGAGGAGCTCCCAACAATTAAAGAACATTGTGTTGTTCTTGCAAAGCAAGTTGGATTGAAGAAGTGGAGAGTGAGGATGTTGAAGAGCTGCTGGAGTCCCATTGTGAAGACCTCTCTACAGCTGGTCGACAACAACTTGTTGCTGAGGAGGAAATGGAAGCTGGAGATGAAGAATTAGTCCAGGATGCATCACAAGAGCTTTCCACTTCTCTTTTGTCTTTTATCCTGAGGTAAGTTGAGAAGCAGTTGCAGCTTTTAGAAGACAATGATTACAATGCAGAACCCAGCAGGATAGCAGGTCGTAGAATAAGGTCTTATTTGGCACCCCATGAACAGTTTCTTTATGAAAGAAGAAAAATGGCAAAGCAGCAAAAACTGGATATCTTTTTGAAGCCAACCCCCAAGAAACAGTCGGAAGAAAATGAACCACTTTGGATTGACTATTTTTCGTCCTAACCCTACAACCGTAACTGCACCTGAAGGTGATGATGATGATGACGACCCTCAGCCCCCGTCTTAACAAGTCAGCAATCTCAAACCATCCTCTTCCCCCATCAAGGTATCTTCAAATTTTTTCAAGATAATGAAATAATACAGTAAATTTAACACTATTAGGTATGAATTTATCATTTATTTAAACTGTGCTATCCTTTATGTTAGGCTAACTACTATATTTGTTTCGATTTTCAGTAATAATTTTGGTGGTCTGACCCAACCTTATTTTTACCATGAGCCCTGTTATTTTTATTGTGCAATTTTCTGTAGTGCGAGGTCGCACAAGAGCACAACTATCACGTTACAGCAGAAAGGACAGTATATCCTTTCCTAGGACACCAAAACTGTACCTTGTTGTTTCTCTGTACAAATGTACCAAAACATCTGTTTTTATATTCCATTTGTTTTACATCATTTAGAAAAACAATATTCATTTTGCCTTCTGCATACTAACCTTTTGTGATTCATCTACCAGGACACCCAGATTCCTCTGTACCACTGACTTCAACAATCTCTCTCTATTTAAATAACATGCTGCTTTTACCCACTTTGTTAATCATCTGCCAAACTTTTGACCATTAATTAAACAATCCTTATCCCTTTGCAGATTTGTAGCTTCTTCACAACTTGCTTTCCTATCCCATCTATTTTTACATCTTCAGCAACTTACATCCAATCCCTTTATCTAAATCATTGATATAGATCATAAATAGGTGAGGCCTAGCACACAACTGTGTAGCAGTACACTTGTTTTTTCTTACCAAGCTGAAAACACCACATTTGTGCCCCTTTCTTGTTAAGTAGACAGTTCTGCATCAATGCTAATATGTTACCTCCTCTACAATGACATTTTATTTTTTATAGTAACCTTTGATTTGGCACTTGTCAAATGCCTTAGATTTGAACATAGGAATAAGGAGTCTGATCCACCATTTGACCACATCACTGTTGATTTGAATTAAACCTCAATTCTACATTCCTGCTTACCTCTGATAACTTTTCATCCCTTGCTTCGCAAGAAGCTATATAAAATCGATACACAAAATACTCAAGGACTCTGGAATCTCTTCCTAAGAATGTGATGGAAGCAAAAACTCAATGCTCAGAAGATGTTCACCCAAGCTGTTTTAAATGTGCAATCCCTGATTTTTAAACAGTGACCACTAGATCCACACTCCCCCTTATTTGGAAACATCTTTTCCACATCTACCCTGTCAAGAAACCTCAGAATCCTGTGTGTTTCAATCAAGTGATCTATTTTCTAAACACTGCCTATCTAGCCAGTCTAGCTTGTCCAATCATTCCTCTTAAGACAATCAACTCATTCCAGATATTAACCTGAGAACCTTCTGACTGCTTTGAACGCAGTTACATCTTTCCTTAAATAATGTAACCAATACTATCACAGTACTCTAGGTGCTGTCTCACCACTGCCCTGGTATAACTAAAGCATACCCTCACCACTTTGTATTCAATTCCCCCTGTGATAAATAATAGCTTTCCTAATTACAAGCCATACTGCATACTAAGCTTTTGTGATTCGTGCATGAAAACATCCAGACCGCAACGCATCTCAGAGCTCTGTCACTTCTCACCCTTTAAATAATGTGGTTCTGTTTTATTCTTCCTGCCAAAATGGACAATTTCACCTCAGTACACTCCACTTGCTACATATTTGTCAACTCACTTCATATATTTTTGTAGCCTCCTTATGTCTTCTTCACAACCTACTTTCCTACCTTTGTGTCAACGGCAAATTTGCCCAATGTACTTTCCGTCAATTCATAAGTCATTCACACAAATTGTAAACAGTTGAGCACAGAGCATGGATTTCTGTGGGGACACATTACATGTCACATCTTGCCAATGTGAAAAAAGATCAATTTCAATCAAACATCCATGCCAATGTGCTACCCTACACAATAACCCTTTACTTTCCTCAACAATGTTTAAGGTGGCACACTCAATGGTTCCTGTTTATCCACAGCATGTGTTATCACCTCAAAAAACTTTAATAGATTGGTCAAACATGGCTTCCTTGTCACAAAACCATGTTGACTCTGCCTGGTTACATTGAGCTTATCTCAGTGCCCTGCCATAACCACTTTATTAATAGCTAGATTTTTTCTAATGACAGACATTAAGGCCTGTTCTACCTCCCTTCCTTGTTGAATGAAGGAGTTACATTCACTACTTTCCAAGATAATGGGACTATTCAGCAATTAAGGGAGTTTTGGAAAATTAAAACCATTACATCAGCTATATCAACAGCTATTTCTTTTAAGACTCGAAAAAGAAGTCCATCAGGACCCGGCACTTATAACCTGCTGCTCCAACAATTTACTCACTACCACTTCTCCAGTTATTCTGATTTTCCTCGAATTCCACCTTGCCTTCCATTTCATCAGGTAAAGAATGTCCCAGTGGTACAGTTCCCACTTTCTCCAATCCTGGTGTCAGTGTCCCATGAATTTAAAATTTATTTCTCCAACACCAATCTTAGAGCCATGCATTTAACTCTCAAATCTTGGTCACCCTATGCCAAGTTGCTTCTTGTTCAGGGTTACCTTTGAGGTTTAACTTAGAACAAAACAAAATTAGTCCCAAATTGCTCACTTATCCACAGGAGAGCTTGTTTGAGAATCCGACCCATGTCATTGGTATGTACATGACTTCAGCCACTAGATTCTCCTTCTCAACTCAAATTCCTCTCCAACCCAGGCACTGGGCAGGTAACAGAACCTTCTGGACACATACTCTCAGCTGCAGAGAATTGTGTCCATCCCCTTTACTGTACTATCCATTACAATTACTATATTGGTATTTAATCCACCACTTGAATTGGTTCCTATACCATGGTGCCATGGCTAGTTTGCTCATCTACACTGCAAACCCCACTTAAATTCATAAAAGCTGCTAAACCTCAAACCCGTTCAACAATTGCAAGGGCTAAAGATTCTCCACTCCTGGCTTTTCTATCCCCTTCCCTATCTCACACCTTCCTATTATTGATCACAATGCAAAATCACTTTATTTACTGATCACACAATACATTTTCATATTTATGAAAAATTACAAATATCAGTTGGAGGCTACTTTTGACTCAAACAGAACTACAATGCAATGGAATATATGTTTTAATACTGCCAATATTTTCACTCATAAAAGATTAAATAACAAAAACAAAAGAAAAAATACAAAATAAATATGGGAGATTAGCACAAGCATTTATCATTTGAAACATGATTAGTCAAAATTGATACGGTATTACTACTTTCAAAAACCTTACGAACCTTCATAATTCAGTTTCCGCATTTCTACTTCTAGTTTCTCTCTGCTCTTTTTAACAGCTTCAAAATCATCCTGGTTTTTCTTGTAACTACTGTCCATCTTTTTCACTTCTGCCTGTTTGGTCTTCAATTCTTGCTGGGTATGTTTCAATTTCATCTGAGCCTACAGTACAAGAGCAAAATACCTGAGAATTTAATTTTAGATTTTTTCATTAAAATTGAATTGGTAACATTTATAAATTTATGGTGGTGCAAAAGGCAACTTACTTTGTAAATAATTCTAAAATGGTTCTATATTAACATGTATAAACTTACATCAAGTTACAAACTTTTTTTTTGCACTTGTGTCAGACTAAGTAATTTAGTATGAAAAAAATCATTTCAGACTTTGGCCATAAGACCGTAAGATACAGGAGCAGAATTAGGCCATTTCGGCACATCGAGGTCTGCTCCACAATTTGATCATGGCTGATACATTTCTCAACCCCATTCTCCTGCCTTCTCCCTATAACCCTTGATCTCTTTACTAACCAAGAACATATTTCTCTGTCTTAAAGATACTCAATGACTTGGCCTCCATTGTCTTCTGTGGCCAGGAGTTCCACAGATTTCCAACCCTCTGGCTGAAGAAATTTCTCCTCATCTCAATTCCAATGCCCCCTCCACTCAGAGGCTCTGCTCACAGGTCCTAGACTCTCATTAGTAGAAACATCTTTTCCACAATGACTCGATCCAGGTGTCTCAGTATTCTGTAAATTTCAATGAGATCCCCTCCCCCATCCTTCCATACTCCATCAAGTACAGACCCAGAGTCCTCAAATGCTGCTCGTACAACAAGCCTTCACCCCCGGGATCAGTCTTATGAACCACCTCTGGACTCTCTCCAACACCAGCACATCCTTCCATAGCTATGGGGCCCAAAGCTGCTCACAACATTCCAAATGTGGTCTGATCAGAGTGTTGTACTGCTGAGGCTGTATATCTCTGTTTTTATATGCTAGCCCTCTTGAAATGAATGCTAATATTGCATTTGCCTCTAAGGTTTTGGAGTAGATCTGTAGCTCGGGTTGTGGGTGTTGAGGTTGGTTGGCTCGCCAAGCTGGTTTGTTGTTCCGCAGACGTTTTGTTACTGTGCTTGGTAACATCCTCAGTGCAGCCTCTGAGGAAGCGTCGGTGTGTTTTCCCGCCTGGTTTTTAAATTCTGGGGTCCGTTGCGATGGATTGCCTCACTTCCGGGTTTCCTCCGTAGTGGAATGTATATGGAGTCGAGTTCAATGTGTTTATTAATAGCGTGCTTCGTGGAGTGCCATGCATCCAGGAATTCTCGTGCTTGTCTCTGTCTAGCCTGTTCCAGGATCTTGGTGTTGTCCCAGTCGAAGTCGTGGTTCTCCTTGTCCATGTGGATTGAGATGAGTGAGTATTGGTCGTGTCTTTTTGTAGCCAGTTGGTGTTCATGTACTCTTGTTGTTACTTTCCTTCCTGTTTGTCCGATGTAGTGTTTCTCGCAGTCTCTGCAGGGGATCTTGTAGATGACATTGGTCCTGTCCATGGCAGGGAGTGGGTCTTTAGTTCAGGTGAGCACTTATCGTAGGGTTGATTTGGGCTTGTGTGCCACTCTGATGAGTGTGTCGGGGCATGTAGAATCTTTCTGTGGAGTAGATCTGTAGCTCGGATTGTGGGTGTTGAGGTTGGTTGGCTCGCCGAGCTGGTTTGTTGTTCTGCAGACATTTCGTTACTGTGCTTGGTAACATCCTCAGTGCAGCCTCTGATGAAGCATCGTTCCCTGCCTGGGAAAAAGATTCTAAGAAAGAATCTACACGCCCTGACACACTCATCACACTACCCTACATCAGGAACACGTCAGAACTCATCACAAGACTCCTACGACCGCTGGGCATCAGAGTGGCACACAAGCCCAATCAACCCTACGACAGGTGCTCACCCGAACTAAAGACCCACTCCCTGCCATGGACAGGACCAATGTCATCTACAAGATCCCCTGCAGAGACAGCGAGAAACACTACATCGGATAAATAGGAAGGAAAGTAACAACAAGGGTACATGAACACGAACTGGCTACAAAAAGACACGACCAATACTCACTCATCTCAATCCACATGGACAAGGAGAACCACGACTTCGACTGGGACAACGCCAAGATCCTGGGACAGGCTAGGCAGAGACAAGCACGAGAATTCCGGAAGCATGGCACTCCACGAAGCATGCTATTAATAAACACATTGAACTCGACCCCATATACATTCCACTACGGAGGAAACCCGGAAGTGAGGCAATCCATTGCAACGGACCCCTGAGTTTAAAAACCAGGCAGGAAAACACACCGACACTTCATCAGAGGCTGCACTGAGGATGTTACCAAGCACGGTAACTAAACGTCTGCGGAACAAACCAGTTCGGCGAGGCAACCAACCTCAATTGCATTTGCCTTTCTAACTGCCATCTGAACCTTCATGTTAATATAAGAGAATCTTAAATTCAGACTCCCAAGTCCCTTTATGCTCAGATTTCCAAAGTCTTTCCCCATTTAGAAAATAGTCTATGCCTCTGTTCTTCCTACCAAAGTGCATAATCTCACACTTTCCTACATTCTATTCCCTCTGCCATATATTTGCCCATTCTTCTAGCCTGTTCAAGTCTTTCTGCAACATCCCGAAAAGGATTTTTAAAAAATTGAACCCCTAGAGAGCCAGCAACTGCAGGAAATTCTTTCTAGTCATGTTTGTTTCAAATCTCAGCATTAGTAACTTGATACTAAAAGAATATTAAAATAGTGATGTAACTACATACAATTGTAGTCCTTTGTGAGGACTACTGAGGACATTTGGACTGTTTGCAATTTATCATTTCATTCTGTATTTAGCTAACTTGTATTTTATTTAATGTATTACAAGAACAAAAACTTGTATATTTATAACACTAACATAGTGAGACATCCCAAAGCAATTCACCAGTTTCATCAAATACAATTTAACTTGAACCACATTAACAGATATTAGAGTTAGATGAAGTGGTAATCTTTAAGGAGCATCTCTTAAAAAAAAGAGGGGAAAGAAAGATAGACAGGCTGAGGTTTGCAGAATTTAAGGACATGGTGGTTGAAGGCACAGCTACCACTGATGGAGAAATCAGACCTGGGGATGCAGAAAACAAAATTGAATGAGTATAACTATCTCAGATATTATCTGGAATTGGAAAAATTATTCAGTTTTGCTTCCAATTCCCATCGTTCTGTCACTTTAACCACTTCCCTTCTGTTCCTTGACTTCTTTGTTTCCACTTCTGGTGATAGGCTGTCCATTGACATCCATTACAAGTTTATCGATTCCCAATGTTACGTTGGCTACTGCATACCCTGCTTCCTGAAAAGGAGTCCATTACATTTTCTCAGTTTCTCCATCTCACTCACATCTGTCCCGATAATGACATGTTTCAGAGGGATGCCTCTGACATGTCCTCCCTTTTTTTCTTAAATCAAGGACTGCCACTATGGTTGACAAGCTATGTCTGACCCATTTCATGCAGCTCGGTCCCGAGATTCCCCATCATCCCAGAACAACAATAAGATTCCCTCATCTTTGCTTTCTATATCACCAGTCTATGCATTCGAAGGATCATCTTCTGCCATTTTCGTCCGAACCTCTTTCCCTCCTTCTAGAACAAAGAGCTCCCATTGTCCTTCTTTTCTGCCTGACCAGACTCTACATTCAAAAGATCAAACGGTCCCACTCTGGCCTTGCCATTATAATAAACCATCATGCTCCTGTACTAAAATATCTGTCTTGGGCCTGCTACAGCATTCCAACAAAGCTCAATGCAACCTGGAAGAACAACTCGCATTTTCATTTAGGTACTTTAAGCCCTCTAGTACTCATCAACAACTTCAAAGCATGATCTATGTCCTCAATTTTCATTAGAATCCCGCACTCTTGGCTCAGTCTTGTTGATTTTGCTTTCAGCAGAACAGACTTATTTTCTGCATTTCACACCTACCCCTTACACTGAATTCATATCTTAATTTCTCCTTTACAACCATAAGCACTGTCTGTTGCTCTGGGCACCCTCACCATCTGTTCTATTTACCCATTCTCTGTCATAGCATAATAACAGCATATAAACCAATTTCAATTTCATATCAGACTAAAAATATTAGCTCTATCTCTCTCCACAGATGCTGTCAGATCTGCTGAGTTTCTCTAGCATTTTGTGATTTTATCTCAGAGGAAGTTACAGAAATAGGGGGAGGCAAATCACTAAAGGGGTAAAAAAAGCATGAAAATTTAAAAAAAAAAATCAGTATTAGCTGAACATTGCTTTTTAATTTGTATTTTAACTTCAAATACCATATTTGCATTGTGTTCACTGCCACCACATCCGTCAATGAAACTACAACACATTTTAAGAGATCATTCTATAGTGGCTTAAAAAGTACTGCGATGCTATTTTAAGCAGATTTGAAGCTGAATATCACAGTTTTTATTTTGTGACTTCAGTAGATTAACTGTGAAACGATAACATTCACCAGTATGCGGACGCCAAGATAGCTTGGTGCTGAGAAACAGCAGAATTCTGAAGAAACAAATTCTTAACAATTGCTATTAAAGCTTCATATTTACATGACCCATTAATCAACTACTGCAGAATTAATGGAATCTCTTCAAGTTAAAAGCAGTCACAAAGCACAGTATGCTTTACAAACCTGCTTGGCTTCTGTTTCTGCCTTGCTTATATCATTCTTGCAAGCCATCATCTGACCAGCAAGTGTGGCTGCCTCTCCATCCTCATTGCTGGAGAGACCTGCAGAAACTGCATTGAAGTGTTGCTGAGCAGCTTCCAGAGCCTTGTTATCTTTCTGACTAGTTTCCTGTAGAGTGTTCAGTTCAGATGATATCTTTTTCACTTCTTTTTCCTTAGCTATAACAGCTTTACCATCCTGGGAAAATAGAGGTAGCAGTAAGCAAAATAAAAGATGTAAAAGCAGATACCTACATGAAATCAAGGACAGCTTCAAACATTCTAATCCACCAAACACCAAAATTTGTTTTGACAATTGTCTCACCTCCTCCATACTTTTGACAAGCGCTTTCTGTTTCTTTTCTTCAGCTTTGAGGTTGTCTTTCTTGGAATCATAGGTACTTTGCACTTTGGCATCCATACGATGAGCATTAGCCACTGCATCTTCCAAGGACTGAAGCACTCCACCAACTTCCTGCAAGACAAATCCTAATTTCAACGTCTCCCTTAAGTGAAAAAAGCAAAGAGCAGGGACACCATTCAACATAAACACCATTCAACATAAACCCAATTAGTCAAGGAAAATACAAAAGGAAATAATTGGAGAAAATGACTGTAATCCAGGTAAGAGATGGGGAACGTGTGGAGATACATACTCCTTGTGATTGGAACACAACAGAAAATGTCTGTATTTAATACTTCTGTATGAGTCAGTAAGCCAGAAAACACAAAAGCTGGGTTTTTACATCAGCTCACACAGTCATCACAAACCTTTTAGGTCTTGAGTACAATTTTCAAAATGAACTTGTCAGGTGAACAAGCAAAACATAAGTACTGTTTATCATTGGAATAAACACTTTACAGCAACATTAATCAATCAGAATGAACATTCAGTGCTTTGCAACTAGTGTGTACCTCATCTCGGATTTTTTCCAACTCATTGACTTCTTTGCTGATTTCCTTCACTTTCTTTTCACAATCTGCATTGGTTTCTTGAAGTTTAGTGATATTGTCTTGCATGGACTTCAGATCTTCAGCAGAACGCAACTTGGTCTCCTCTGCACAAACAAACTGGTATGCAACGTACAGACGGGTAAGATGCTCTATCTCACGCGTTATTTTCTGGAATTCCAAATATGAGGATCTTTCCTACCAGTAAATGAAAATGAACAATCAGAAAGGAAAACTTTAATCAGTTAAAAATCAAGCAATGTATTAAGAATGGCAAATTTTTGAATTAAAATATCAATTCAAATGACCTACAGAAAACCTAACTGGCAAGCTTTACCATACCTTTAAAGATTTTAAAATTCATTGAAATATTACATATACAGAAACAACACTGCAGCTCATATCCATTGTAAAGTCCCATCCACTCTTATGTTCCCTTACTTCCTGAATTTTAACCTCATCTCAGCTTTCAAATCCACCCGAGCCTTGCTCCTCTCTATATCTCCCTTTTCTAACCCTAATCTTCCAATTTTAACTGTTGCACCGATGCTGACCATACATTTGGTTTCCTAGGCTCCACACTTTGGAATTCTCTTTCTGAACGTTTGCCCTCCTGCTCCTCTTTCCCTACTTCTTTAACACACTCTTCTTTCACCAAACCTTTAACTACCTGTTCCAATATTTTATACTGTAGTTCATGTCAAATTTGGTTTGAAAATTACACTTGTGAAAAGCTTTGAGAAATTTTGCAACTTTAAAAGGTACAACATATATACAAGCTCGTATGTTATAGACAAGCTATACACTTAAAAAAATTCAAGTCCAGTATTTCAAGCCAATCAGACACGAATAACTGTTTGAACACAATTCATCAGTTTAGACAATCTCATCAGAACTTTCACCCTTCCCCAATCTTCTCTTCATAGATTTTGCCAGACCTGTCTTTGGAGTTCCCCCAGCACTTTATTTCAGATTTCCAGCATCCACAGTACTGCACTTTTATTATAATCTTCCCTCATACTTTGAGCACAATTGTATAGACAGTTTAAGGTCCTTGCAAAGCCAACAACCTCATCCACAAGAGACAGTAGGAACTGCTGATGCTGGAGAATCTGAGATAACAAGGTGTAGAGCTGGATGAACACAGCAGGCCAGGCAGCATCAGAGGAGCAGAAAAGCTGACGTTTCGGGTCTGGACCCTTCTTTTTCTGAAGAAGGGTC